ATGAGTCTTTCTAAGGTAAAAAAATAATTGAAAATGACAAAAATGCGTTTTGGTCACTTTTATTTTCATTAAAAAAAAAATTCAATTTTTTTTTGCTTTGGAATAACTCTAAAATTATTGTGTTGGTAACATCGACGTGGAAAAATGTGTTAATTATTTTTAAAAATCACATGAGTTAAAATATTATTTTAAAAAATACCACAGTTATCTAGTGCAGGAGAAACAGAATCAAAATTTAGTAGAGTAAATGTAATGTAATGTAGTTTAATAAAGACGTGATGCCTACAAGTGATGCAGCAGTTGATGCCACATGCTTTGGTTTCTTTTCAAACCTGATAACTGCTTTGGGGGAACAGTTTTGGGGGAACATCTTTGTACGTCTTGTTTCCCTCAACCTTGATCTTGTGGAGCATCAAGAGTAAGTAATATGTTTTGGGAATTGTAGGGGGGAGGGGGGAGTGGGGTCTTTGCCTTCTTCCCTTCCCTTGTAAGTAAAGTTCTGGATAGGCCACCGTAAATGTCTCCAGCTATGGAACGAACAATTGATTTAGTGATTAATAAAATATAATTAAATTTACTACTAGCCTATTGTGTAGGCCTACTATTTGTCCTATGACTATAACTGGAAACATATGAAAAAGCCTGAAAACACCTTTTTGTTAAAAGTAATTTATATTTTATATATATTTTTAAGAGTAATTCTACTGAATGAAATTTGAAATAATCGTTGCTTGTCCCACAATGATTGAGATATCCAATGATGAAAATGCCATACTGTGGTTCTCAACATCCTATAGGACAACTTAACTGTCCTTCATTGTTACTATTATATGCATATAAAATAAATAAATAATGAGAAATACTACTAGTACTAAATCTACTTACACTTACAACTAATATAACATTTAAAACTAAGTCACAACATGTAGAATCTTAATAAATTGCACCACCATCTAAAAATTGATCTGGTATATTTTATTACGGAGACTGGCGCAGACCATTTCACATTATTTAGCAGGGGAATCAGAATCATAGTGCACAACAGAAAATAAAAAAAAATTAATCACATTAGTCCTTAAAATTTAGTGTCTTCTGATTTAAATAAATCAATAAAAATGTGTAGTTATTTTAATTATACATTTCTTTTGTGTTTCATTAATACTTTATAAGTATTTAACCTTCGTTCCCTGTAAATAATTGAGTTTGTCCACATAGTTACCAGGATTGTCTGGTGGCCATTTTGAATTTGTCGATTCATAATTTTGACGTGATAGTCCAAATAAACTGTAGTAATACGACCCTATCATTAATCCCGTTCGATAGATTTTAAAGAATTAGTAAACACTAGCATCTAATAGTTAAGTGCATCCATATTTTAAGTCCCTAGAATGTCCTGAATTAAATAGCTTCACGTCTAAACACACCCTGTGTACAAGCGTAGTTCACACGCAAGAAACCGTGGACTAGTAGAGTTCAAATTTACATTAATAACGTGTACTAATTAAACCAAACTGACATTCAAACATAAAATTCATTTATTAAAATGGAAATGAAACTTTAAAAATGGTACTTACAACTTGTTTGAAGGCTCTAGCAATGGTAAAATCCGTTTAGCATCATCGGTCGTCAACCTTTAAAACCGTTCGGCGAGCAACTTACTCGGGGCTGAAAGTCGACTCGAGGGTTATATGTTTATTGGGGGTACGGCTTCGCGACCGTAAATCAGAAATACTTGAATTTACAACACAAAGTAGTTATAAAACTGAACTTTACATCGGTGTAAAAATTGAAACAGAATTAGTTTTTTCCGTATATATATCGTCATTTAAAGTTTAAAATCTGTATTTTTTAAATGAAATAAACAAGTTTTTTTTTTCAATTTATACATCAAACGATAGCCTAGAATTCGATCTTTAAAATGACATTAAAATTATGCTTCTACGATGCTTCGTCGCGAAGCCGCGACCAAATAAAACAGTGTGGGGTCGATCGGTACACGCAAAACGGTGAAATTTGTTGACGTAACTGATACTTTTCAAACAAATATAAAACAAATTCAAACATGTGTTACACATATAAAAATACCAGATTACGACAGATAAAGACTTAAACTTTATTGACATATAATTTTTATTCTTATAGGACAACTAGAAGTAGTGAATTTTTTTTTTTGAAAACCGCAAAAACTGACCCTAAAACGCACTTTTTCGCCAGTTTGGACTACCTAGTTTGAGCCTTGTTGTCAGAAGTTATTTCATTTGGAGTCAATATAGTGCGGCCTATTTTCGTCGGTAGGCATTTAGTGGCAGGCCCTTTTTGGCGGGGATGATGTGCTGAGGTTGTTTAACACCGCTTAGTACAACAGGCTTGCAATAGTTATGAACAAATGTATGCATGAAAACGAACGCTTTATGTTCCTCATTTTCACTGAGCACAGCTTTATAGAAGATTCCAAAATAGACGTCACGCATCCCCCCCCCCCCGACCACCCTGCGTAAGTTGACGTCACATTAGCATTGCATATGTGACATCGTTTATGGGCAACCCCATATAACTCATTTTGGGTATTTGGTATCAACATTTTGACAACAAAGGTTATTCAAAATGTATATAGGACTTGACATCTACCCTAAATGACATCGCACACTTAAGGGGTGGAGTAACTGGTTTTGAGACGACGTTTTACGCGGGAAGTGGGAGGGGTAAGAAACGTGAAACGTTATGTATTTCGCCTAATACAAAAATGCTAAAAATATTTTTCATTAGAATTATGGCTTGACTTTTTAATAGACAGGGCAAAAAGGTAATTTTCGACATTACGACTATTTCGTGACGGCAAAAATGGGGGTGGGGGGGGGGGTTAAGGTGAAGAGAGGTCAAAAACGGGACGCCATTTGTGATTAAATCACTAATTAAAGGAAAAAAGCATGAAAATATTAAATGAAAATAGGAAACAAACAATAACACAAATAATAAGAATGAACTCAAACTAATATTTAAATAAACATTAGATATGTAGTGGTAGCTCTATAAAAATAGGGAGTATCTTAATGTATAAAAATTGCATCTCATAATAATAATTATAGAACTGATGTTTATTGTCAGTCAATTAAATTGTTTAAAGGGCAGAATTTAAAAAAAAAACGCATGCTTTGTATTTAAACACAAGACTAACCTATTTAACAGCAAACATCAATACATTTCCATACAAATAGAAATTAAAGGGAAATGACTCAAAATAATATTTTCTTAAGATGGCCGCTGTTTTTAATAGCAAATTTAGTATCTGTAACATCGTTGTTAAACTTTAATTTCCTGACATTTTTATTGATTTAAACCTTAAATGTGGTTTAATATTCAATTATCTTTAGTATTTTAGTAAAATATGCAAAAATATATCCATATTTAAGCCATATTTATTAGTTACCTTATCCCTACATTGCTAGTGACGGCCGAATTGATTACGCTAAAGCGATAGATTACCCTATTCAGATACTCATCAAATCAGAGCTGGGATGATGTTCTACTTTTCTTACTCAAAGTCTGATTACACAAAACCGGGATTTAAACTTTTTGCTTAGTGTAGAATTACAATTAAAAGTTAATCTAAATCTGGAATCATTCAAGTAAATAAATAATGACCTGCTAAAATAAATGATCCAACTGTAGAAATAAATCCTGATAGAAAAGAGTTGAATGGAAAGGTCCCAACCATGGCACAATAAACAAATTGGACAACGCCGGTCAACAGAACATAGACCAAGTATGCATCTATGATCTTAAGCTTTTTAGGCGTTGTGTGCATATACTCATCATAAAACTTTTTGACAACGTTTACTAATTTTTCCGGCATTGTGTAGCTTCACAATCTAAAGTGAGTAAAATTTACGGTAAGAAAGACGTGGCAGCTAACGTTTGATGTTTAGATTAGTACGGAAATGTCCGTTCTGGCAACCGAAATTTTAGGTCAATTTAATGCCAAATTCTATTAATTTTTTTCATTTGATGGAAACGAACCTATTTTACCATGAAAGGTTGATATTGTTTGCTCTTGCTTATTTATATTTTGAAACACGCGTTATACAAATTATATCACACAAGTCTATATAAGCTGGAAAGCTTAGTTACCGTTTGAATTACTGTAAACAATGTTGGATCTTAAAAGTTACTTCTATTTTTGACCGTGGGCAATAATTATTTAATTAAGTAATGCAAACTAAATTCTCTTTGTCAGAAATAAAACTACTTTAAAATAAAGCGGAAAATAAAAGTTCCACTGGAATTCTTAGAAACTTATCGTTGAAATTTTTTTAATGCATAATTTTATATTATAAGGTTCGAGCTATAACAAACAATAGTATTTCAATAAACAAAAGTTAAAAAATAAAATATAATGACCAAAATGTTTAAAAAGCACTAAACCATAAATAAAGTTTAATTGTATACGTTTTTATTGACTTTTAAAAAATAGTTTTTAGGTCCGTCGCGTCAAATGAAATGCCAGCAACACTACTAAATCTACTCCGAAAGAGAAAAAGAAACGGGAGGGCTGAGACATGTAGACTACACAGCTACAACTACAACTGGCAAGAAGCAGACTGTTTTTGAGAGGTCTGTCAAGAAATGGAAACAACTTTCTATGACTACCCTGTGTCCTGTTACTAGATCGAGCAGGAAAAAATGTAATGATGAAAACAAAATCAGATTGCTTGTCTAAAAACAAAAAATAATGTATTTCATTTTCAAAGTCTATTCATAATAAACTAATAGTTTTCAAAAGTTTTCATTTATTAAGTTGTTAATCTTTGAAACATTTGCTATTTGCAATGGTATATATGTCTATTTCTTTTAGGCATTTGCATTACAACCTCTTTACAACTTAAATGCATGAATTTAAGTGCTGCTATAGCTGGATACAACTTGCACAATGTCCAATATTGGCAATGTTAGTGGGTAACCACGTGACGCGCTCTGGCGTACGAAGTAGATCACGTGATAACAAACTTCGCCATCTTGGCCGTTCAACCAGTTAGCGCTTTTTCTGTTACAATTATTATTAATTATTAATTATAATCACTGCATTACAGTTGGTAAATATCATCCTTAAAGAAAATAACACATACTGTGGCATACATTCTTTATTTAATATTTTATTCAAAATATTTATTCGTGGTAGCCAATATTTAGAATTCTTAGTTCTCACAGTGTGTCACGAGTGGAGTATTCCCGCATGTGTGTTTTTGTACATTGTTGGTAACGGCAGGACTTAACCTTAACTCACACCTTAATAAAATAAGTTATTGAAATCTAGATCTAGATGCTAAAGCTAGTATTTATAATACAAGTTTTATAATATACAATTTGAATTTTAAACTGAAATTTATTTTAATGACTACCACTAGGACACTAGGATTTGTAACTTGTTAAAAAAAGAACAAGTCTTACAAGTCCTTCTTGCCAGACTTGAACTAGAGTCTAGATCTAGATTAGATTCAAGGCTTGATCTATCACTTACTCAATCTACTCAGATGAATGATTTAGTGAATGGCACAATAATAAATAAATAACAGGTAAAACCTTAGTTTAGCGTCGGAAATTATCGGGTAATGTTTGTTGAGTTTCGGTAACTAGAGTTACGGTAAACCATGGTTTATTTGACCATTGAAATATAAATAAATTGAAAGTTGATTGTAGTAAATTAATGTTTTAATTTTTTAAGTTTAATCGACAAAAGGAAACAAGAATAAATATAATATTAGATTTTATTTAGTACATCTATAAATTAAAAAACATATATTAATATAAATAATGAAGTCAAATGTAATAATTTAATGTTTTTGGCTTGCAGCGGATTTGCGACCATTAATTAATTAGATCTAGCTAGCTGCTAGGCCAAGTAAAAAAATCTAGATTACGAAACTAGTAAAAATGATTACAAAGATGTAAAAATGATTACAAAAAGAGTAAGAGTGACTGGAAACAGGGTTCGTACACTATTTTGAAAATGAAACAAGACCTTTGTAACCACACCATTATTTGTGCTTATAGTTATAGCTGAGAAACTTGGATGATATTTCGAGTCGTCCCTTTGAATCCCGGTCAGAACGCCCCCCCCCCCCCCCCCCCCCCCCCAACAAGAAGAGACGGTGGAGGGCTCACTGTGAGGTCACAGTAGCCCTGTCTAATAGGTTATATCATGAACTGTACAGTAACTTCTATTCCCCCCTCCTCCCTCACCTAGCCAAACAGCACCACCTACGTACTTGGGGTCACCGTGAGTTCATACAAGTTTAGATATCAGTGACCTTGGTTGCAATGAGGGGCGGGTTAGTCTAGCCCTAAACTTTTTCACGGTCAGTCAAGCAACAACAACAAAAAAGACAGGTCTTACACTCTTCCCCCCCCCCCCTCCCCCAACGACGTAGTAACTGAGAAATCAGGTTTCATCTGCGATACCCAGCGAAAAATGTCATACCACAGTCCAGACTTTTTAAAGTCGACTTTTTCCAGACTGTGTACGAACCCTGTTAAACAATGTTTAGTAGCAGAAATATTTAGAAATCTAGCTGAAACACTTAAAAATAACTAGTTATACAAAATGAGTAATAAAGCAGTATTTAACACGCAATTAAAATAAATCTATCCAAATTTTAAGCGTTCTGTATTAAAAATAAAAGATGACGCCAAATAACGTATGGTTTACAGTACTTCCGGTGAATTCCGGAAGTGTGTGACAGACTTTAGCATTGTTTTACTGTTTTTTACTGCTATATGATTCCGGAATAATAACCGACGCTAAACTAAGGTTTTACCAAATAACATAATCTTAGGTACTTAGATCTAGTACTCTTTGGTAGTTCATTATGATTAGGGGGGATTTTGGTAATCTATCGTTTTGGGTACGTAAAATCGCCCGCGGCTATTAATGTACGAAAACGTTACCTCATTGTCAAGGCTGTAATAGAAGTATATTGTGAAATTTTTGTGTCAAATATTATAGATAAATGAATAATAAACCTAAATCAATAGCTAAATATATCAATATAGGCCAGAAATTAACTTTAAACTGCAGTGTCTGCAAGCAAGATTTCCTATATAAACAGCAGCCATTTGTAAAATAGAGTGACTTCCGCCTGAATCGTGCGCTTTAAGTCTATAAAAATAAAACTTTAACAAGATGGCTGCTATAGTAAATGAGCATGGTTGCATCTGTTGGAAACATCGCTAGTCTTCATTTATTACTGAAAAGTTTTGATTCAATTGTTTAAAAACAGGTACATAAATGAAACAAGGAAACATTTTTGTATTTTTAAAACATAAATCCTCCTCAAAATGTGAAATAATTATTAAAATGTAAGGAGTCACCTGTTTTTCACATTACTAGTCGCGGGCGATTTTACGTACCCAAAACGATAGATTACCGGGATTTTTTATACCTGTGTCTGATAATAGATTAATAGAATCTTCTTAAAAAAGGGGTGTTAGGTTACTGGTACTTAATTAAAATACACACATGGCTTAATATTAATAATGTTGTCAATGGTAACCCTAATCCTACCATACTCCTAACCCTAATTTCTAACCACAAAACTAGACTTGAGATTACACTAATAGATTTAGATCAACTAACAACCTAACACACCTATTTTTGGAAGAGTCTATTATTGGGCATCATTTTACCCAAATGCTTTGGAACATCAGTATTACCAGTGTCCAATAATAGACTCTTCTGAAAATAGGTGAGCTGTAAGGTTGTTTGTAGCTTTATAATGTGAAGTGTAGGGCTATGGTCAAAATCAGGGTTGGGGCTTAGACTGGTTTAGAGCTATGTTAGGACTATCCAGGACTATTGGGTATACTGATGACATTGTCCCTAAACCTTTTTCTGGGTGTGTGTTTTAATGGCTGGTGTTATTATATATATAACTAGCTGGATAATGGTACAATACATTAATTAACCGGCTAAACTGATTTCATGAATCAAGTTATGTATTGCTGGGTCTTTATTTCTTTTTTTTTTTAACCATGCCATACTACTTTTAAAATATATAATTTTTGTTTAAAGTGTTCATTTTATATTTGCAGGCTGATCAGAATGTGAAAGTAATTCCACACAAGTTAATCAATGGCTCTAACAAATAAAATTGACTGTGACAGCAAAGTAGGAGAAAAAACAATAACTATTACTAAAGATCCAAAAGAAAGAATTTCAACTGTCAATGAAATTGATGGCAGCTCTAAAAATGACCTTCAGCAAAATATAATTATAGTTCAAAACTCAAATGAGCTAAATATTGATGAGCTTGATCCATCTCTGTTGAAGTACGTTAAGCAGGTTCTTGCAGATGTTGAAAGTCAGCATAACAACAGCACAGAAGATGGTGCTGAAAAACAACCAACAACATACATTATTGACTTAAACACTTTTACCAGGCCAATTAATACCACTCAAGATTGTTCATCAGGTTTGTCTGAAACAGTGTCACTTGATGAAAACCAAGCTCTTGTTTCTGATGACCAACCTGAAAATTCTGCCCCAGCCATTTCCAATGCCTTGGATTTGGACTGCCAGCAAGAAATTGAGATATCATTCGTTTCATGTGTAACAGATCTGAAAAATCATGAATCTCATGGGAGTGTAGAAACCGTACCTTCTGAAAGCCATCATGTTGTGCCCTCAGTATCAACCGCAATTGATTCTCAAGCTATTTCAAAGAATCTCTCATCAGATGGATTTACTAGTTCACAACAATCAACAGCTAAAAGCTTAAAAGTACCTACTTTTAAACTAAGTGCTGGTAATAATTTTGAATCTAAAGCATCTACTTCAGGTGAACACCTAAATATTGCAAAGAAGATTATAAATGATAGTAGGAAACTGTTGCCAGGAGGCAAGGTAAATTTGAATCAGGAAGTGGAAATAACTGAGGAGAAATGTGGATCTGATTCTGTAATAACTATGTACTTGTCTTCCCCAAATGAATTAAAGGATAAAATTAAAAATCTTAAGACTGATTCCCCTGTGCTTGTTATGCAAGCTGGTGAATCCTCCTCTACAATAGGAAAAGAATTAGAAGTAGACTTGCATACAAATGATCAATCTTTAATAACACAGGTACAAAATGCTAAACCTGGTACGTCATCTCTTAGTAATGATGCCAGCAATTCATCTGATGGTTCAACGAGTGATGTTGTGGCTTACCACTGTATAGAGTGTGGCTATTCAAGCCATAACAAACATTACTATAAGCAACATGTTGACCTTGTGCACAATGAAGATAGACCTTATAAGTGTCCACACTGTGACTATGCAGGCAAGAGACGACATGCTCTTTTGGAACACCTAGTCGTTCATTCAAATCAGAGACCTTTTACTTGTGACCACTGCAATGCAAGTTTCAGGAAAAAGGTAATTTTATCAATTTACTGTTATATTAATTCATTTTTTTTTCTATTTATATTTATTGCATTAATATTTAGAGGTCAACCATTTGGGACTTCGAATGGAATGGATGGGAGGTTAAATTTTAAATGGTCATTTGTTATAACTAACTTAAATGCTGCATACAACTACCAAAAATGTTACTTTTATACTTCTTTCTTACACAAAATTATGATATTATTTATATAATATAAAATCCTTTTTTTTTAAATTTTGGATTTTGTAAATGTATGATCAATCGGTTAACTTCAGGTTGTTCTAGATAAGTATTTTTTCCAAAAGGATCGATAATAAAATTTGATTTTATATTGTTTAAACATGGTGATCAACTACTTTATCTATCTTCTCAACAGGGTCACCTAACAAATCACATCAAGCTACATACAAGCCAAAAACTAATTCACTGTGGAGTTTGTAACATTCAACTGCCTGATTCTGAGGCTTTTGAAGCCCATTTACACAAGATACACAACACGGATAAACTCTACAAATGTAAACTATGTGAGCACACTGTTGTGGATAGAGAAACTATGTTGAAACATTTACATACACACAATGAATCAGCTACTTATTCTTGCCCCAAGTGCAGCGCACTTTTAAATAGTGATGAAAGCTTGATTAATCACTTGAAAACTGTGCACGATATCTTGCTTGTTGACAGCCAAATAGCTAAAGGTTGTAATGCCAATGCTGTAAACATAAATCCAGTTAAGATTGAACCTGAAAGTGTGCTGAAGCCATACACTCCTAGTATCATCTGTTCTGAGTGTGGATTTGTTTGTTCTAACAATGAGGTGATGCAAAAACACATGTGGGCACATATTAATGGACATGACAAGCACAGTAAGATTAAAATAAATCCTGATATGAAAGATCAAGACACTAGTGTGAACAACACTATGGGTGTTTTAAAGATGAATGTTGACTTAGGGCAGAAAACTTTACCCAACAATGTAGTTTACCAGTGTACTGGCTGTAGTTTTACCTCAAGTGACAATTCTGTTTTTATAAAGCACATGTTGGCCCATAAAACACAAGAAAAAAGACGCGTAGTTACCTCAGAGCCAACCAAGTTTAACCAGGCTACTTCCATTAATTCACAAACCACTCAGAAATCAAAATTATCTAGTTCTTTCACAGAAAATGTGAAAGAAAAAAGAAGTGATTCTATTGTTCCATTTATATACGATGAAGCATCTGCTAGATTTCGCTGTATTATTTGTGGGTACCACTGTGAATTTCAAAGAACAATCAAAGCTCATATTTGGAAGCATTCTGGACATCAGAGCATTGAGTATCCGACTTTTGATCAGTCAAGTAGCTCCAAATCTACATCACAATTAGCTTCAAATGAATCTGGCCCCAGGAGAGTTGGTGAACCAGAATCATCTCAAGACAATCATTACACCATTGCTCAACCACTGACATCTCATTCAGTTCCTCAGCTTCATCAGGCCAGAAATAGTGAACTTGTTCAATCAGCACAACCAGTTTCCCACACTGCCAACAGCAGCCCAGGAGAAAGCATTCATGCCATAGATAGCAACAGTGCAGCACAAGAGAAATCAACAGCAGCAAGTAGACTCCTGGAGACTATTGCCTATTCAGCTGCTCAGTCTAGAAGTAACACAGCAGCCAAAAAAAATCCTGGCTTGTTATCTCACTTAGCTTTAACAGATACTAAATTTTCCACCTCCGTAGATAATACAATTACTAATACACCTTCACTACCTTTGAAAAGCATTGAAGATCAAAATAACTCTTTGATCACCAGTTCTGATCATAACATTACTTCAAAGGTACTTTTCACCACTTTGCTTAATAATATGCAGACAAGTTACATTAAAAAAGAGAACATGCTTGATGTTGATGAAGGTTGTACAGAGCCTAGTGTGGTGGTTGAAGTTATGGACACTGTCTCTTCAGAATCTGATTTGACAGGCTTGTCTAGCCAGCATGGGAGCCCTAGAATCCTGGAACTAGACAGTGCTGGAGATATTAGGTTGTCAAATCCTTTTACATCTCATGAGAAAATGGGCAAGAATTTTGAGGCAAGTTTAAATGCTTCAGAAAGTAATCAATCAGACTCGGAAGTTCGGCCAGCTGACCCATCTAAAAACCATCACAGCTATTCTGTTAGACTAAGATGTCCCATTTGTGATCGCCAGCTGAGAGAGGATTTCAAATCCCACCTTATGATGTGTCAGAAAAAGTCAGACGATGATAAATCAAAGTCACTTAAAGTTAAGTCTAAAGGACTTAAAACATCTACGGTCAGTCAGAGATTATATGACAATGATAACCTTCCAACTGAAGATACAGACTCCACAGAGTCTTCAGATGAGCTGACTTTATCTGGAGATTCCAGTGGATTTTCACAACAAAAATCTGGTATTTGTTCTTCTCTCTTAGCTGTGATAGAACAACTAAGGGAGCGCTCACGATCTGAGAGCGAAGAAGATAAACATGGGAGTAATCTTTTCAAAAAAGGAAAAAAGAAACAACAAAATGATGAGGATAGTAATGTCGAATCTGTGGATGATCTCCAGAACATTGAAAAGATATCTGATAGTGGTAATGAGAAGTATCGTTGCAGTCTTTGTCACTACTCAAGTCAAAGAATTTGTAATATAAAGCTCCACATGAAAACACATAGGCAGAAAAAACCATCAGAATGCTCTCTTTGTGATTTTTCATCTACCTCTCCGGAAGCTCTACAAGATCATATGCTCAAGCACTGTAAAGTACGAACATATGCCTGCAAATTTTGTCCTCAGAGCTTTAACCACAAAAGTACTCTTAGAGCCCATCTGAGAGCACATAAAGATCAAGAACCTTTTCTTTGTGCTTATTGTGTGTTTGAAACAACAAACCCAATGGAATACAGAGAACACATGCAAGTGCATTCAGGTTGCTCATCCAGGCTGCGCTGCCCAGGTTGTGATCTGATTCTAAACAACAAAGAAGAATTAACCACTCATTTGCTGAAGTGTAAGGGGACCTCTAAAAAAGTCAAACCTTTAGTGAGCAGTCATGAAAAATCAGCAGTGCACAAACAGATAGCAAAGCTAGAGGAACAAATAACCTCCAACTCAGGCAGCACAAATCATGCCTGTGTTGTCAGCGGGTGCAGTTTCTCCAGCACCAGCCTAATGCGCCTCCAGGATCATCTTTCTGTACACTGCAACCCCTCGTTACTGGTTTGTAATCTGTGTGATTTCAAAGCCTTACACATTCGCAGTCTTAAGTCCCACATGAAAAGACATTCAAACGATCAAAGGTATGTGCAGCAGCCCTTAGAACAGTACAAATGTAACTTGTGTGGGTATGTGTGCCATCACCTGCCGTCTCTCAAGTCCCACATGTGGAGGCATGCCAGTGACCAGAGCTACAGCTATGAGTTTACAAATGATGTCATTAATGCAGCCATTGATCATGACACTCGGGTTGAAGCTGATGGAGAGCCTGATGACCCTGAATTATTAGACCGGGTCATTAATTCAGAGAGGCGGATACTAGAAGGAGAACTTACAAAGTGTAACAAAGGTGATGGACAGCGTCCCATATGTTGGGTTACTTTTAGGTGTTGTAGTTGTGGGTTTGAAACAATAAACAAAGCAAAACTCAACATACATATGAGGTCCCATTCTGATATCATACAGCAGGCTTTAGATCTGCAACGGAAATCCCAACCAAGTTATAAAACATCTGGTAAAAGGTTGCATACAATAGAAAATATTGCAACTGGTCTCAATATGAAGGTTGCAAGAATAAGTGAAACTATCTAAGACAGTATTTGTTGCTTCTCACATTTTTACATAATGAAAACCATTAAAAATGATGAACTTAGTCCTGGTAAATTGTGGCCAGTAAATTTTCCAAGCATCCTAAGTTAACAGTACATTGTAAATACAGCAGATGTTTATATGTATTGTATGCCTAAGCTGTTGTATAAGTATTTCAGTATTGTGTATTTAAATATTTAAAAAAATTGTTTCTCTAGTAATAGTATATGTGCAGAATCATAAGGGCCATTCATTTTTATCCTAAACAAACATGATCTTCTCCACATTTAAATGTTTTACTTACTTGTGTATGAGTATTGTATGTATTTTAAATATGTTGCTGGGATGGTATTGATCTAGTCTCAAGTTTTAAAAAGACTATTGACATCGTAAATAGGTCGAATCCTCATTTAAACTTACTGTAAGGTGTAAGCTAGAACTTCTAAAATGAAATAATGAATTATGCATTTAAAAAAAACTTGTCCCACATTGGTTGTTATATCCAGATGGATATACTACACTAATTTGACAGCTTTATTTATAATTGTTAATATTTAAGAACATTCCACTGGTTTCAATGTGGACATAATTCTTCTTAACTGTGCATATGTAGCATATATTTTTAAAAGCATTTTTCATTCAAAATACTTTTTGGAGTTGTGGGGGGTGTTCAAAATCTGCCCATTGGCATACTAAATGTACATTGAAATGTCAATTAATGTTACATGTTTCAAGAGTTTCCTAGTTATATTTGTTTAATTTCATATGATTAACTGAATAACCCAGCCCTATGTATTGGTTAATATGAAGAGTTTCTTTTTTTTTCTGTTACAATAAAATTATAATTCTACTTCTCTACTGAACATTATCTAATGCATCGATATCCTAGATTTGTCAAAGCCTGCAATCTACCCATTATGTCTTATTGGAAACATATTTTTTAAAGTTTTTTTTTTAAATATTTCCACAATAAGTATTTACTTACATTAAAAAAAATCCACAGCATTTATCTGATCTAAGATTGGCATTTTTTAATTAATTTTTTTCAACCATCACCCAAAATTTGAGCTTGATACATTTAAAAATTGTATTCACAGCTACATAAAAAATGTCTAACTTACATGCTATTTGTAAAGCCATCAACATAAAGTCATAAATATAAAAATATCTTAAGTGAAAGTGTATGCATTAAGTTTCAGTTAACTATTTGAGTTTTAATAATTCTACATTCATTTTTATCCTTTTCATTTCTGCCATTGTGTATATATAGATCTGCATTTATTTTAATTACTGCAATGAGTAATCATCTAGGAATTATATTTTACTTTTCTTTTTAGAGCTATTGAAATCCTCAAGTAATTTTTTAACAAATAAATCTGTTTTCCACTGTTTAATTTTTTAGGGTGTTTGAGGAATATTTTGTTTTTAAGAGTATAATTATCTCCCTACTTTTTAAAAACCTTAATTTGACTATATTTACGTGTGCAATGATTTTCAAAAAGTTTTTTTGTGTGCATAATACTAATAAACCAGACATTACTTCAACTTTAAAACTGAAAGCATGACTGAATTATAAAAACTATATACCTCTACTTTTTACTGTTTACTACTTAAATTTTGAAGTAATCAGAATATCTAGCATAAAGAAATATTAGTGATCCACCTAAATTTTTAGAAGTATGTATAGTTTTTTTATAACCTTTTTAAAATAAACGCTTGTGTTAATTTTTAAAGAAAAGTTTGATTTTTATTATATACTAAAATATTTATCTAAAACTGGTAAATTTACTTTAAACATTGAATTTATTTTATCATTGACTTTGACTAAATATTTAGATCTTCACCTGTTAGAATTTTATGTTTGGAAAATATTTTTTGAAAAAATATCCCATACTTGAAATGTGAAAGTGTATGTTCACAATTTTTTTTAACAGTGTAATATTTTAAAAAAATTCTTTCTTTTTTTCAGATCTGAAATATTTTTTTTACTCACTATGTGTGGTGTTATAATTAACGTATTGCTTGATGATTATGCTTTGCACTTTAAATAATTCATTTTGGATTTCAACACATTTTTTTGTAAATACCATTTGCTTTAAAAAAAATTATAGTCTTCATTTGTCTGAATTGTTTGTGCAATTTACATATATTGGTTTATACTTAACCATAGCATTAAAATTTTCAAAAAATTTAAGGTACATTTAAATGGCCTGAAGCATATGCAAATTGTATAGAATTGTGTCATCTGTCTGTATTTTAAATATAATCTCATTATTAAAAATGTTTATTCATTAGAAATAGTAGGTACTTGTTTGTTTTTCAACTAACATAAATTTCTATACATGTTTTTAATTTCAGTATCCTGGTATTTATAAAAGAAATCTCATAGTCATACTTGTTTACATACTTTTGTAGTGATAATAATCAAGATGCCTAGATACAGTAAAATATTTTCAAAGTTTTATCTATTATTTCAGTGTTTAGAAAATTAGACAATTTTATTGTTCTTATAAGTAGAATGGACAGTTATATTAACAAGAACATTGCATTGTCATTTTTTTTTTATTATGGGCTGACACTTAAAATTGATCCAGTGCTTATGTATTATCTTGTTTGAATTAACTACCTTTGGGCTATAATATAGTGTTGTGATTTAAGCATTAAATTTTAACTATAACCTTCTTGGCCGATCTTTTTCAGTTTTTTTTCAGTTTTTTTTACTTACTGATGTGATGTGTTTTGTATTGTTAAATTTGTTACAAGGGTAATAGTATTAAAAACTAACAACTTTAACCAAGTTATGCAGAGAATTTAAATGCCAATAATAACTAACTAATTTTAAGTTACAGTAACTTTACGAATCATCTGAATTTCTAGCTGAAAACTCATTTTGAAAATTTGGCTACTTACCATTTTTCAAAATGTAACCCCACCCCCCCCCCCCCCCCCCGGACGAAATGAAATTTATATAATTTATATAGAAAATATATACTTTTAAGTGTCCCCCCCCCCCCTCGAAGAAAGTCTACAGCCCCCTAAAATTAAGTGCCCCCCCCGGAGAAAAAAGTCTGGAAGAAACACTGGTCGTACCCCGTCGGGCCGATAGAGCTCACCAAACCGAACCGTCTCGCGCACGATTGTAGGAAAAAAAGTCACAGGAAAAAAAAACACAGGAAAAAAAAACACAGAAAAAAAGTCACAGGAAAAAAAGTCACAAATATATATTTGCATGATATTTGTTAATACTTTTATGTATTAAATATTTAGAGAGTGCAAATTAACTTAGTATTAATTTTAAAAAATGTAATGTGTGTAGGCTGTATACGCATTGGAATTTTTATAATTCATCTAAAAATATTTATTATGAAGTATGTAGATTGTAATTATTTTAAACTTAAGATTAGTAGCATTTAATAGAATGCTCCAAAGTCCACGTTTTTCATCGTGTTTTTTAAAAAATACCAATATTAAATTACCGTGAAATCGTAAGTTCATCTGACTTGCTGCCCTCAACTCATGGCAACAATAGTTATGCTTAGTTCAACCACCTTTACTGCCCACATTTATCACGCTCATTACATAACAAAACTTAGCATCCAAACAGAAAGCCGACAAGGTTCAAAGGCTGTCGATGACGCATAACGTCAACAACACAAAATATGTTCGGACAATGCCTTCTGAGGAGAGGCCGACCAGAGAATAGCCTACGGCAAAATGTGCCTAAATTTCTTTTATAATTAACTTTCTACCGCGTATTTAACTAAATACGTAACAAATGTTGAGATTGTTGTGTTAATTGTCTTAGACTATTTTTACTTACAATTATTATAAATCATAATGCTTTTAACGTCTATAAATAATTTATGCCATAAAAAATACAACCCACAACAATAAACATAGGGCCTACAAAATTTTACAATTTTTATCAAATTAATAAAAATATTTCTAAAAAGATTTTTGTGACTTTTTTTCTGTGACTTAATTTCTGTGACTTTTTTTCCGATAAAATTTTTCCACTGTGACTTTTTTTCTGTGACTTTTTTTCCCAGCAAAAACTGTGACTTTTTTTCTGTGTTTTTTTTTCCTGTGACTTTTTTTCCGTTCACCCTCGCGCACGATCCCCGGGGCAAGTGAGGCTCGACAGCTGGGGGACAGCAACCCATCTAGGAGGAGAGAAATTTCTAAAATCATACAACTGCTGCATTGTGTAGATTGTTCGTGGATGGACAAAAAGAAATTCAGGCTGAAATCTAAGTCAACGGCCTATACGTAGTAGGATCGACCGTGATACGATGAACAAGCTAAGGAATATGTTGCATTGCTTCCTATTCTTCAACAACAGCAGCTAGGCCCTATTTGTGTCGCAAACATTATTGAAGAAATATTGAATATTTTAAAAGCCTGCAGAGGCGCACGCACACACATACCCTCCGCATGGGTGTAGGACAAAAGGCCGACTGGACATAAGGCCGACAAACCTAAAGGGGGGTGGGGTGTTCAGAGTGTTCACGTGTTTGCAATTATTTCGTTTTTAAAAAAGCTTTTTAATTGTAATACAAATTGATCAGTATATGCCCTACCTCATCTCGAACCACTTCAATAACAACTCTAGAAAAAAAACAACGGTTTCAACAAAACTTGCAACGAAAAAATAATAATGGTGAGGGGTAAAAATCGTCCAAAAAGAAAGACGTCATTAATATGGACAATCCATTTTCTCATCTGTAAATTAAAAAACAATATATTTGTGTGTGTATATATATATATATATATATATATATATATATATATATATATATATATATGTATATATATATATATATATATATATATATATATATATATATATATATATAAACAGACCTTTTTTCTCCTGGGGAGGGGAGGATTTGATGTTTGCGTAGGGGGGGGGGGGGGCGGACTAAATTTCCAAGGGGGGAGGGGACCAGAGGCGTAGCGATCCTTCCCGGGGACAAACTTTTCGATTTGCACCCCCCTCAACCTTTCAATTTATTTTTCCAACCCATTTTGGCGCCCCCTAAGGTCGGCGCCCGGGGACACATGTCCCCCCCCCCCCCCCCTCTCGCTACGCTACTGGAGGGGACGGACACTGGTAAAAGTTATTATTTTCTATATAAAATTCCATTTTATCGAAGAGATGCCTGGAAGAAACTCGGCTCATACTTGTACCTATATTTATAAATATCAATTTATAAATATAAGTGCATCTCAAGCATGGTTTATATTTCTTAAGATTATGTAAAAATTGTTTTAAAATTAAATTCTAGTCTAACTAACAAAAAATATGGTAGCTTTTAAAGCCAAACACATTTTGGTTTTAAAAATGGAAATTTTTCCGTTTTCCCCAGATTTCTGTGATCACACGTACGACTAAAAATAAGCAAATCTGGCCAACATTATAAATCTTGAAGTTCCGGGTACTCTTATTTTTGTCAACAAAGCTTTTCGCAAGTAGTTAGACCTAGAGTCTAGACCTAGACCTAGAAGAAGCTTTTAATGCCGAGATTCTCTACTGAACAATAAGGTGCCTACCATATGTTTAAAATATCATTTATGCATGATTTAGTAGGCCTAGGCTTATACTTATTTATTCAAGTTAAAGGCCCTAGTAATTATTCGCATTTTAGAAAAATAAAATTCCTAAGGCAAGGTTTAGTTTTAGACCTTAGGCCTTAGGGCAGTTTACTGAGTTTAGTTAGTTACTTTTAGTAGTTTAGGCCTACCACTTACTTTTAATTACTTTACGTTACACGGCAAAGTTACGTTATGGTTTTCTTCGTCTTCCGTCTTACAACTCTCACATATTACATACATCATACTCATAGTAATAGTATACAACTTAGTACTAAGTACTTATACTACTTAGGGGGCCTACTACTACTACTACAGATTACACAGTTTACCTGAGTTTACCCTGCCCTATGCAATGGTCATAAGTTTAAACAAAATAGTTGAAAGTTCAGTTTGTTCACTCATGAAATGATATTAATACAATTATGGTAAAACCTTAGTTTAATGTCTGATTTTTTAAATGCTAGAATGGTATAAATAGGTATAGCAGTAAAAAACAGTAAAACAATGGCAAAGTCTGTCACACAGTTTGGAATCAACCAGACAGAAGTATTGTAATCCATACTTTATTTGGCGTCATCTTTTATTTTTAATACAGAACGTTTAAAATTTGGATAGATTTATTTTAATTGCCTGTTAAATACTGCTTTATTAATCATTTTGTATTACTAGCTATTTTTAAGTATTTCTGCTACTAAACATTGTTTAACAGGGTTCTAAGCAGTCTGGGAAAAGTCCCAAATTTAGAAAAGTGAATTTCAGACTTTAAAAAGTCTGGGTGGGTCTACACTGTTGTATGACGTTTTTTGCTGGATTGCAGAAGAAACTAGATTAACTAGATTTCTCAGTTACTACGTCATTGGGGGAGGGGGAAGAAAGAGTGTTAGACCTGTCTTTTTTTTTGTTGTTGTTGTGTGACTGACCGTGTAAATGTGTTACAAGTATTTAAAATTGTTATTTAATGAAAGAATGATCGGCCATACAAATCTTGACCTCTTTTTACTTTCTCGTATATACGAAGTATAGAGAAAGTATTGTAATCGTGCACAAAAATCAGTTGAAATTTTTACAATTTTCACCGTATTACACCTCAGTCCTTCATCACATCCGAAGAATAGAGGACTTATTTTAATCGAGCAAAAATTATCAACCCAGATTTATCAAAATTAAGAGGTTTTATGCGTAATCCAGTTTGAAGAACTGGGCTTTGCAATTCTGTCCGTATGTCTGTGTGTCTGTCTGTGTGTCTGTCTGTCTGTGTGTAAACACGATAACTTGAGTACCGTTACAGCTAGGTTGATGAAATTTCATATATAAGTATTTTATCAAAATCGTAGATCCTTATCAACTTTTGAGCGATTTCCGATAACCAGAAGTGGTACTTTTTCTACTTTGAATTTTTCAAAAGCCTATAACTTGAGTACTATTTTAGATAGATAAATGAAATTTCACATGTTAGTAAAAAATCTAATTCTCTACCTTCTGTCAAATTTTGAGTAATTTCTGTTGCCCGAAAGTACTAATTTACGCTACTTCCGATTTCTCAAAAAACTAATGTAAATTTTTAAAGTACTAATAATATTGCGCACTATTATGCACTTTTTTATTTGGCGTTCACTTGGTGTGCAATCTTTTGTCTACGAGATTTTATTCTATTTTTAAAACTTTAAGTATTTAAAATGGATTAAAAATCATGTCTATAGCCTGAGTTCTCATCCCCTGTTGTTTTATATAAGAATATTCGAGAAAGTTTAGGGGAGATCACTCCCGGTTTATTTTTTACACCCGCTATTGTTCCTTAAGTTTGTCTGAGGTTGCAGGCAGGCAGTCTTATAAAAAAATTTTGAGGTAAGCTGTAAGTGGTAGTCTACGTATAATTAAACTACCTGTATTTTCAATTCACTCTCCAAACTGTTTTTGAAATCTTTGCAAAAGCTTACGATTGGGGCTAGACTAACCCGCCCCTCCTAGAAGCTACGGTCACTGATATCTTAGCTTGTATGAACTCACTGTGAGCCCAAGTTGGTTCTGTTTGGCTGGGATGCGGGTGGGGGGGGGGGGGGGGGGGGGAAATACAGTTCATGCTATGGTGTATTTGATTGGACTACTGTGACCCCTCCACCGTCTTTTGTTGTGTGTGTGGGGGGGGGGGGGGTTCCAGTAGTTTTAATAGCAGACAAAAGTTTCTCAGCTATGAGCACAAATAATGGTTTGGTTACAAAGGTCTGGTTTCATTTTCAAAAATAGGGTACGAACCCTGTTTCAAGTAACTTTTACTATTTTTGTAATCATTTTTACTTGGCCTAGCAGCTTGCTAGATCCAATTAATTAATGGTCGCAAATCCGCTGCACGCCAAAAACATTAAACAAATTATTACATTTGACATTTTTAGATCTACTAATTTAAAACTACTATTATATTTATTCCTGTTTCCTTTCGTTGATTGAACTTAAAAAATTAAAACATTAATTTATTACAATTGACTTTCACTTTATTTATATTTCAATGGTCAAATAAACCATGGTTTACCGTAACTTTAGTTACCGAAACTCACCTACGCTAGACTAAGGTTTTACCACAATTATAATTGATTGATCATCAATGACAATAATGATAATCATTAATCACATTAACCAGGTTCTTGGTGAAATGCAGATGCAAAACTCTAACTGGTGAGGTGTTAAAATTAAGAAGAAAATGCTAAATATTAAACATAGGGCCTACCTGCAAAATTATTAGCCCCTACACAGTGTATCCACTTGTGACTTACAACGTATAATATTATACTACCTATGCAAGTGTTATACAATACATGTCTAAAAAAAAAATAGCAACAAATTAATTATGTAGGCCTATACTAATTGTTGTATAAATCTATAGGCCTAATAGTAATTAATATTCAATATCAACCGAAATAAATCAAAATTATCTTATAGGTCTGCTTGGAATACTCTCTCAATGTTTTATATCCAGACGTAATACTTTACTCACAATTTTGACCACCTCTACATAACTGATTTCTTTTAAATTTTTCACTTAGGTCAAAACTTAATGAAAATGCATTGACTTAATTAGCTATTTAGCCTAATCATCTTTAAAAAAATTAATCAATGTGTTGTTTATAAAAAAACTAATTTTCCACTCTATTAACATACATTGTTTGCTTTAATTTGGTACACAATTCTATTTTCTACTCAATTTTATTCAATTTAAAAAAAATTTTTTGAGAAAGTTTAGAGGAGCTCACTCCTGCTTTATTTAATTCACTGCATTCATCTACTAGACATAAAAAGGGCAAAACATTGCAATGATTTATACAAGTAGGCCTACAAGTGATATAAGTAGGCTACTTAAGTACTTGACTTTAAATAGTTTTTTATCAATAATGTTAAAATTGGTTTTTAGATTGCATGATTGCCAGTTATTATTCAAATAAATTTTCATTTTTCAGTTATTCAAACATTTGAATGAGTTTAGCCGTCACCATGCCTACAATATTGCTGGAAAGGATTCCACTACCCAGTCTGCATACCTACATTTCTTTTTCGGTTTTGATCCTAGCTTTGGCTTCATTTTATGCACACCAAACAGTCAATGCTAAGTTAAATTTCAATCCTGAGAAGCAGATAGTGGAAGAACTAGGTTTACCACCTGAGTTGACGAATGTTACGCTGCCATTTGCTAGAGATGAGCATTTTTATAACATGCTCTATATTATGAGAATAGAAACATGGTGTATTTGGGTTTGTATTGTTTTTACTAAAATTATTAGAATCTTTTATAATAATATTTAACTTAAGTTTCTTATATTCAATTCATAGAGTATTTTTAAGTTAGTATAACAGAATTGTAATTTTGGCCTCTGTCTGCAGAATTATTTTCTATCACATATATTGACATTTAAATTTCAGTGGCAAAATTTTATCTTTTATTTTCTCTTTTATATTTCAGACTCTTGTAAATAGCTGTTACTGTTTGCTTATTTTGTTGGGAAAACTAATTCAAAATGTTGTATTTGGCGAACTTAGAGTAATAGAAAAGCAGGTAATTTTCTTAAGAGTAGTCTTCTTAAACATCACTTTACTTTGGTATTTCCATTTTATGCATGTCATCATTTTTTAAATTATTGCATTTTTTTTTTCAATACTTAAGTGAATATCACTAGTGAACTAAATCAATTTTTTACAAATTCAACATGAGAAAATAAGGTAATTCTAAAAACAATCTCCTTTTAATAATGAAATGTAAGTTAGCCTTTGGTTAAAAATTTTTAATACTTTGCTTTTAATTATATTTCAGCATTTAAAAGACAAGTTCTGGAATTTCATTTTTTACAAGTTTATTTTCATCTTTGGAGTTATGAATGTACAGAGTATGGATGAAGTAGTAGCATGGGTGGCTTGGTTTTCCTGCTTGGGTGCCCTTCATCTCCTCACACAACTGTCTAAAGACAGATTTGAATATGTAAGGCTATGAATAGATTTTTTTTATATATATTCTAGAGTGGTGGTGTGAACATCATTCTTAGGGTCCCAGTTTTTAAAAAGTCAACTTGTTAAAAGTTAGAAATTGAGTGAAAATTAAATCTACTTTATTTTAAAGATGAATATGATATTGGTTTTTTTTTAACTCATTTCCTTCTTATGTGCATCACGAAATACTATTAAAAAAATATATTAAATTATATATTTTCTTGAGATAATAATTTCTTTATTGGATAAATATATTTTGTGCCTTTTCAATAATTAAATAAACCATAGACTTATTTTAAAGCTATATCAAAGAAAGTTGATGAAAGCTACCTCCCTTAGCTTAGGGACTGGGGAATGGTTTGAAATAGGCTTTTGTAGTTAAAGAAAAATTTATATCTAACGATTATAAAGGATATGTATTCAGGCAGCTTTTTTCTAACCAAGGTGTGTTTGTTTTCTTAATTGTTTAGGCCTACAAAATGCCCCTGTCGAAAACATGCATTTGTTTTTCAGGCCATTCATAGAGATCCCACTGCATGTGGGTATTTAGCTGAATGAATATTAATTATTTGGAAACCGCTACAAATCAAAATAAGTTTGGTTTTTAAATTTTAAATAATATCTGTTTAAAAAATAATTTGATTGTCAATACACAATTATACAATTAATTATACAATTAAAGCTCCCCATTCAGACCTAAAGATCTATAGTGCAGTCCTCGGAATATGAGGGGATAAGGACATTCAGTCTGAACTCAAGATCTTTGGGCTAGTAGCTGAACACTACCATTTGACCACACCATTCCTTCAGTATACATTCTAATGTATTATCCATTGTCACAACAAGGATTCACTGTTCAAATTATGTCATTTTTAACAGACACTTCAGTTATGATATCTTTACAATAAATTTTTTCCCCAGTTGTCATTCTCTCCAGCAACATCGAGGTCAGCTCATGTAAAACTGCTGTCGTTACTGCTGATTATATTCCTGTCATGCTGCTTGTTGTTAGCAGGCTGTGTGTGGGTGGGAATCAACATTAGTCTCACCATCTTTGCATTCATGGCAGCAGAAGTAAGAAAAGGGCACACGTTTTGCTAACTAACCTTTAAAATAAACTTACAATAACAAATATTACTTTGGAAGTTATTTGGGTAACTTAAACGTCTGAAATGTTTTACAAATTGCAATGTTTTTTTGTGTTCATTTAAATTTTTATAATGGGATAAAAAATGTATTATGATATTAATTATTCTCTTTTAATTATTTTTATCAGGGCCTTCTTCTGATGTTGCAGTGCTTGTATGTTATCATTAGGTAATATTTTTAGTTAATCTTTTAATGATAGTTTAATAGCAAGCAGGTTGGCGGATATGGATTAATGAAATCCTAGTTTGTTAAAAAAACATAACTGTGTATGCTAGAATTAGAATAAAGTAAGCATTTAGCTACTTCCAGTTTCCGCTATCTGTTTCAGTCGGTCTGGTTAATAACAAGTAAAGTCACAATTTTATAAGTTGACTATAAGTGAGATTTTACCAAATTATTTCAGGTATATCCTACAATTGTGGGACTTGAGCCTAGAAGGTGTTTGGGAAGCTAGGTCCATTTATGTGTACTACACTGAACTTGTGTTTGAGCTGGTAGCTTTGAGTGTAGACTTTGGACACCATCTTCACATGCTTGTAAGTTAATTTTGATATTGTTATAATGCAATTGTTAGGTAGTTTGTGGTAATGAGCAGAATTAGCTGTTTAAGATTATTTGAGGCAGAAATGCTTAATGTTTGTTCTACTTCTTTTGTGCTTAAATTAGTCAATATGACATGACACGATTTAAGATTTAGTACATGTCAGTTAACCATATGTTAATATTCATATAGCTGATATCACAGATAATATAGCCTAAGACTGTCCTAATGCTTACTCTAACTTCTTATAAAAGTACTGACTTCAGATTAGCTAGATAGATATGTTTGTCAATTTGATATTTATGTAAAAAATTACTTTTGTTTGATGTACACATGCTGATTTCCCTTTTCCCCCATAACATTTCAGCTTTATGGAAACATCTTTTTGAGTATGGCCAGCCTAGTCATTTGCATGCAGCTGCGATTTCTTTTCTATGAATTTCAGCGACGAGTCAGAAGGCATAAAAATTATTTAAAAGTCGTAAAGGAAATGGAATCTAAGTGAGCATTGAAATCTTTTGTAATCAGCAATTTTTAAAATATGTTGTATTTAATCACTGATTAGAAAATTATTATCATGTATGGTAATAGTTGGTTAAAGAAGTTTTATACATTTATTTCAGGTTTTGTATGGCAACCCAGGAAGATTTAGAGCAGAATGCTGATGATTGTGCCATCTGTTGGGAAAGAATGGATTCTGCCAGGAAACTGCCATGTGGCCATCTTTTCCACAAGTCAGTTAAAAAAATGAAATTCTTTTTTTATACAAAAATGTACAAATCAAATCAGGTTTTTGTTAATTTTGAAGGTAGTTTAAAAAAAAAAATAAAGTTTCCATAAGGTTAGAAGTTTTGATTAAATATGTATTAATAAAGTTAATATATTATTTAGAAATTAAATATTTTTTTTTTACAGTTCATGTTTGCGTTCATGGCTAGAGCAAGACTCATCTTGCCCTACCTGTCGTACAACACTGAGTGAATCCAGTGGCAGAGAGGGCAGAAATGTCAATGGACAGGTGGCTGCCAACTTAGCTGAAGGAATTGTAGCGCAACCCAATCAAGCAACAACTAACCATTTTTTCCACTTTGATGGTAATTTTTATGTGTTGTTATATTCTTTCATATATTGTAAATCTTGTGGAAAATATGTATTTTCACATACACTTTGTTAATAGCTTTAAAAAAACGACAACTTGTACATTTTTATTACAATGTGTTGGTCAATACAATGCCGTTATTTATAAAAAAAATTAGGATCACGCTATGTGAGCTGGCTACCAAGCTTCTCAGTTGAAGTGACACATACCAATCTCTTAACTGGTCAACAGGCCCACGCCACTCAGACTTCACAGCTTGATAACATGGTATGATAAAAATCATTAACATTGATTTTAAAATTATTGGATTGGATGTGCATTTTTTTAAGAATCAGGTTGCTTGAATTGTAAAGATTTCTTGATTTCTCACTTCTAGTTTGTTTACATACTGTTAATGATAATCAAAGTAATCAATTTTTTTTCAGGCTCGTGAAGTTCAGGTTGTATTTCCTAACATTCCACAGTCTGTAATAATGGAAGATTTGCGAGTAACTCGATCTGTGGATCTTACAATAGATAACATCCTAGAGGGCAGAGTTGCCATTCCAGCAGTAAGATTGTTTTTTTTAAATATTATTTTGTGTTTCTTACAGTGTGGTAGAGCATTCTATTACTAAAGTCCTTAAGACATTCCTGAGCTCACCTTTTGGTGATTTAAATATATATAATGGGATGGCCTGGTCAAATGATAGAGCATTTAGCTACTAGCCTGAAGGTCTCGAGTTTGGATCTCGGTTGAGACTTGTGACTGTAAGACAACACTGAGTCCACCCAGCTCTGATGAATATCTGACTTACATTGGGGAAAGTAAAGGAGCTGGGACATTCTGCTGACCACACCATTACTTCATATGGCGAGGTCAAACATCTTTCCAATGGATTACTAGGTCTAAAGAGGAACATTACTTTTTAAATACATGTAATGAGCATTCCTCAAAATTATTATAATTATAAACTAAAAAAAATGAAATTCCCTTTGATATAGGCTATTATTAAATTAAAACATTTATTTATACTAAGCAAAAAGTTAAAATATTTTTGTCTTGTTAATTTTTAAAGGCTTTATGTAAATTGTAATTATCTGGGAGTAAAAATTATATTTAAAAAAATTACAGCTCCCAAACACTGCAGGGCATCAGAGAAATGACAGCCATGGTAGCATTAGCAATTCCTCTACATCATCTGAGGTGAGTACAGCTATCTAGATTTTCTACAGTGATTTGATTTTTTTTCTAAAGCCTATATTTAGTATTTCTCTTTTATTAGTTATCATATCTCAAGAAAAGCATCTGAACTTTTACAACTGTAGAAGCCAGATAACATAAAAATTATTAGTTTGTTTTTCTAACCTACAAGGGAAGTAAGCTGCATAAAATAGAAACACTACAAAATATGAAATAATCATCTCAGGATTTTTCCAAATCTATTGATAGAATTATAAACTTTTTGAAATTTATTTACTACCCAGTTGGTAACTGCCCCAAATGAAACACCCAAACAAGCTGCCGATTCACCTGTTTCTACTGAACAAAATCTGCAACTTGATCCGAGCCCAACCACCTCAAAAACTAGTGAAGCACAGTAAGTTTCACACAGATAAATTCTTTATAATTGATCTTTTAATAAAAACTATTAAGTGAAAAATAATTTTAAAATATTTTTAAGCATTTGTTACATTTCTCATTAATTTACCCTATAAATTGTTATTTTCTTACTATAATAAAAAAGTTTCTCTGTTGAACATAGTTGCAGAATTTCAACAACCAAAATTTTAAAGATTTTTATAATTTATGCAAAAATTTTGTTTCCTATATTTCAAGTTTTTCCATTTGCTTATGAAATATGTGGGAAAATGTTTTGCTCAATCCTAATAATAATTCATGCATTATAGGGTTTAATGTAATATTAATATTGTCAGTAATTTCTTAACAAAATATTATTTTTAATTATGGATTGCCTTCTAATAAATAAAAACCTCAAGGAAACTTAATTAACCTGACTGTGCTGTTCTTTAGTGTATCCTCTCACACAACAACTGGAAGTAGGTTCTCTAAATCCGCTTCAGAGAGAATGCATATGCTGGAGAATCGTAAAACTGCTATGTTGGAAATGGCACGAAAGTGAGTACTTGATTCCCCTCTGACAGATCTTCTTTTAGTAAACACTGTTATAGTGTACATTTTTTCTTACTGAATAGATCAGCTTTGTTTATTATTTTATGTTTTGAAGATACACATGTTTTAAAATGTAGGAATTTAATAGTATAAATTTTCTTTTCCTGTTCATGCTCAAGACACCTGGGGCAGATAAAGTAGAGTTCATGTTTCAATGACCTCGGCATGTGAAGGGATAGTGTGGTCAGCACTATGCCCAGCCGCCTTTATTTTCCGTAACGAGAGTTAGGTACCCATCAGCGCCGGGTGAACTCAAAGACATTCTACTGACTCGAACCTGGATTTGAACTCGAGATTTTTGGGTTAGCAGTCAAGCGCTCTACCGCTAGGCCTCGCCTATCAACAATTATGTATATAGATAAAAATATTATACATTTCAGGCCTATATCTCTCTTAATATCAACTAACAAAGCACGCTATATTTCCATCTCTGTTACTGCAAATAGATTCACTTGCTGGTGTTTGGTTAGGTGCATTGACACTAAATACATAAATTTGTAAGGAGAGACCCAAATATTACATTAACATTTACACCAGCAGGCCTATATTTTCGTAAAAAAAAAATATATATTTTTTGTATTTGACAGAAAATATCAGGTTAAACAGGAAAAGCTGGAATCTGCATCTGATACCTCTCAGGATCTGAGTACAGGCGTACTAGATACTGATTACACAGAGGACAGTTTGTATCTGCCTGAAGCAGCAGCTTTTGAAACCATGGATAACACTCAGGCTGAGAGAAGGGCTCGTCTTTTGCAAGCAACCGAAAGGAGATTAGAAAGGCCACCAGAATGAAGCTTTCAAACAGAAATATTAATTTTGAAATACTTGGTTTGCATCTATCAACTATCAATATACAGCATTAGAAAGAGTATGCCCAACTGACTTGGACAAACCTTTGCACACCATTTTTTTTTTATGGAAAAAAAAGTGATTTGTATGTACTTGGTGAAGTACATTTGTTTAGTTCTGCTGATGTTGCTTCTACACATAGCCTACAACTAAGCATAACTTCAATTATCCAAAAAAAAAGTTTTAAAATTTGTTCTCACATATTTTAGCCAACCGGCTTGATAATTTATTTCAACTGGTTCAGCATCGTCTGTTATTCTTTAGCCCCAATAATATTCATTTAAAATATTTTTTTGGTTACATCTGCTGAAAGGTTTTGATTTCTGATCCATCTTTTTTATTTGTTAGCTAGATTTCTCACTAGAATTATTAGAAAGTGATAGTGCAATTTCTTTTTTGTTTTGTTCTATTGTCTGTGTTATAAAAATATCTTCCAAAATTATGCAGTGATTTGGGACTGTACTCTAATGTAAGTTTCCCAAAAAGTATAAACAATGCTTCAGATGTTGAATTAATATTCTGACATTGTAACATTGTATGGACAATAGATTAGCTGTGCAGAAATAAGTCAGTGTTATCTTGGAATATTTATTTCTTTAAATTAATTGTATTTGGTCATCTGTAAATTAGTTATTAAAATACCCTTTTGTTAATTTAAGTTTTCATATAACTGATTTTTTAATAATTTTAGTTCTCTAATTGATATTATGATATTAATTAATAAAAAGGCCACTTTTTTCATAGTCCCTAGTAATGTTTTAAAAAACACTTTTCAAGCTTAAACATTTTTAATACCTTTTTAAGCTAAAATAATCTCTTTGCTAATATTTTTTTAAAGTTTTAAATGTGCAATACTGATTTCAATTTATTTCAAACCAAGATTTCTTTAAAATCTTTACAGAATATTTTATTTTTAAATTGGTCTGGATATTCAGACATTAAAAACCAACAAAAGATAACATTTTAAACAAAATTTCTAATCCACTATTGCAATTTTAAAAAGCAGGCTTTTCTGTATCTATTTAAATTTTTTATTTATTTTAATAGTTTTTATTCTTGGTCCCATGGATTATCTTTTATTTTACCAGTTAGGAGATTATTAAATACAAATGATGTTAAAAAAAAAAAGTCATATTCTTATTCTCAATTCATTGAAAATCTCTTTATATCATATAAAATAGGAAAATAATTTTTAAAAAGTAGGGAAGTAATACCATCATGCAGAGTTTAAATAAAATATGTTAATCTATATATCGATTTCTACTTACAAAGGGATAATTTTTAGAATTTAAAAAAACCTTTCATGTTTCCAAGCTGCTCATGTTTCATTTTTTAAATTGTATATATTTCAAATTTCAGCTAAAATTTGATTTATTCAGTTCAAAAATATATGATTTATTATATTTTGTTATGCCATGATGATGAATTTTTGAGTTTGTAAGCTAATACCCAAGATTTAGACTTATTCTTTGTGTTATTTATTAAGTAATGTTCCATCAAAAGAGCATGATACATCAATTTGAAAAAAAAAAAAAAAACTCGTTGTACATTAAAAGGGAATCTGAATTAAAATTTAAGTTAAACAGGGTTATTTTCTGTTTTGAGATTCACTTTTATTCATCCTTTTTATGTTGAAAAATTAATGTGTTGAGACAGTTATATTAGCCCATATTTGTACACTTTAAATTTAGCAACCATTATTAAACCTTTTTTTATAAGGGGAGGTCATCAATAAATGAAGTTATGCAATTTGAGCACAAATGTACAGCAGTATCTAAAAAAGCCAGACAATACTCCCATGAAATGACCTCAAAAGGTTGGAATAAAAATTGCTATATTTTTCAGTTATTTTGCCCTTAAGAAATACAAATTAGAAATGCATGCGCTATTTTCTACCATACATCACCCACATAGCACATTGTCACACATGTATGACTTCTCTCCCATTGGAATTAGGGGCATGTGATGTCATTTATTGACACCCCCTAAACATATAAAAATCCCAATGGTGTGTTGTTTGCTGTGTAAGTAGCCACCTCTGGCCATACAAAGTCTGTGATCACAAGGCATTTTACTTTGGTTTTGGTGTAGGATTTTTATTACTTGATTTTTCTTTCATTTATTTTTGTTATCAGGTTATTTAATTTCTTTGTTCTAAAACAAATGAATAAAACTGATAATGAAGAATAGTGCCATTTAAAAGATATACTGTTGAGTTCCTTGGTAATAAAGCTGTCTTAAAAATGACTTAGATTTGAATTCTTTTTTAATATTTGTAAAATAATTAGTTTTTGCCCCTTATTTTTAATTGTAATACTCAGAACTAATAAGGAAGAAGCCACATTTTCAACATAGCTTATACAATTTTTAGAATATCACATCATTAATTTAAACCAATTTTGTACTGGTATTGCTAACATTTATAGCCCACCTGATAAAACTTAGCATTAAACTGTTCTTTTTTACTATCATCAGATGTTAACTATACAATCTAGCAAGAGTTTAGGACAATTAAGACAAACTAAAATGTACTACTAAATCCTACACATAGTGAGCAGAACATTATCCTCAACCCCTCTTCCATACATTTCCATTACACTATTTATGCCCTTTACATGGGCTGCTTTCATTAGGCTTAGGCTTTGGGTCCCATGTCCAACCTAAAGCTATCTGGCTTAATTGAGCTATTCTCATTTATAAATTATACGCCTCACATTTAGAGCATACAGGCGAGTCAAAAATAAGTTACTATGTACTAAAAGCAATATTAATAAAGATTGGCATAGAAAAAAAGCTAGCTTCTGTTGCTACTGACCATTAATATCATATTTGCTTGATGGTGAGCTTTATTTTCAGAAAGTAATAATCACCCAGCAACTTGATGAACACCCAGTCAAACCAAAGCAGAAAAAAATACACAACCTAGACAGCCTGTGATTCAATATTAACATAATGTGTTATAACTTCTCAACAGTTTGAGAATGACATCTAGTTTCGGGTTATATTTGTAATTATTTATGAAGGCTCATACCTGAATACACCAGGTTCTGAGGCACCCCTAATTTACAACCCCTCACCCCCAAACAATGGGGATAAAGTAGAGCTATATTAATTTTCATTCCGATATGACTATATAAGTAGAAAGAAGGCACTGCAAAAAACAAAATAACCAGTTAAAAATCTTTTTATTACAGGTTTTGTCTTATTATAACACTTGTATAAAAACAAAAAGAATATGTAATTTCATATTTTTAAAGCAGATAACTTTAAAGAAAGAAAGATGTTTTTACTTTTGTTAGATAAAGTAATTCTGGATTTTCAAAGTATTTAATTAATATTTCAAATACGTACAGAATTATAAGCCAATTAAAAAAAAAACCAACACTATACACACACTATACTATTATCATAAAGTTCCCTTTTTGAACCTGACAGCCCATGGGGCAAGTGATGTTGAGTTCCCATATTTCTGTTATCTGCATATTGAAAGGATTACTTAAATTTTTTTCATTATGCTGTTGCTAGTGCTAGAAAATTTTGAAAGCTTGGATTAAAAAGTTTACACAGCTGAAGTTTTAAAATAATTTTTTTAAGTTTCTTGTGATGTGTGTTTCTTAAAAAGAGTACAGTACACCAGTTTCAAAAAAGCATAACTTGAAATCTAATTTGCACAAGATGCAGCAGCTAGCATGTTCATGATGAATTCATTCTTACCATATGGCACAGTTGTTTATTATAAATAGTAAAGAATAATAAACTTCAAACACCTAGATTTTTAAAAATTAATTAAGCTAAAATGTTTGCTTGCAGTTTATCAGCCTGTTACAAAATGTATGTATAATTATTAATTAATTTGAAGATAGAAAATGATTGTGCAGTGTCTGATGTTTTTTCTTTCTCTGTTGATATTTAACTTACAATTCACTTTTGCAATTTCACAAGCTTTACTATACAGGTCTATATACCTACTTGATATTATTTTTATTACAAATAAATGTTTGAGCTGTGTCATGACATTATAACATTAACATGTCGCATACATATACATTTATACAAGGCTACAAGTTATAAATATTTTTAAAAATCTGGACACAATCAATAGTTTTTCAATCAGCTATAACAACATACTCCAAGTAAATCAATATCACAGATAATGACACTTTAACCCAAACAATAACACTAAAGGTACAAAATTTATTAGTGATACCAGTGTATGTAAAGCAGGACAAAGTGCCGAACTTGGAACTATGGAGGAAAGCTAGGCAGGAGCCTATAGGTGTGCAAATAAGAAGGAGGAAGTGGCGCTGGGTGGGTCACACACTGCAAAAGGCTCACACAAATGTTACACGCCAAGTGCTTGAGTGGAACCCCCAGGGAAAGCGGAAGAGAGGGCGCCCAAGACAGACCTGGAGGCGGAGTCTTCTTGAAGAACTGAAGCCAACAGGGATGTCTTGGGAGATGTCAAAATTAATAGCCGAGGATAGGAAGAAATGGAAGGAAATGGTGGAAGCCCTATGCTCCATAAGGAGCAAAGAGGACTAAGTCAAGTAAGTCAAGTGTATGTAAAATATGGCTAATCGCTGAGAGACATTTAAAATTGTATATTTATGATAATAGAGTGAAAATAAAATTTAAAAAGCAGGCATAAAATTAAATATATCCTTGAGAATTGCTGAAAACTGCTCAGTTTTTGGATACAAACTCCGCCACATGAATTCAACAAAATATGAACCTAACTGGTTGCGAGCAGTGCCACGCTGTCTTTTATTACGTTGTTTTGCACTGCCCCATAACTCATCAACTGTTTGAGAGTGACATCTACTGTCAGGGTCAACAAAATTATATTTGTGATTGTTTATGAAATGTTCATAACCAGCATCTCGTAATTCAATTGTCTCATACGCTTTCCAGCAATCAGAAGAAATAGTACTTTCATCTGCAACATTTTCCACAATAGCAGCCATTAAAGTTTTAACTGAACAATCAGGAATTACAATAAGAAAACACTCCTTCGTTTCTCGACATAGTCCACCAAAAACATTCTGTGGCATAAGATCACGTTCAACATTTTTTCCTTGGGGGAAAATTATTTCGTCTATTTCAACAACTTTGCTGCTTCCACCAATTTTAACTTTAGGACGTGATATCAAGGCATTAGCACATATTTCACGCATATATTTGTTCCAGTCCACAGTTGAATTATGGTTCATTTGCAACTGCAGTTCACAAAAATCAACTGATGTTAATTCTTGGCACCACAAGTAAATAAATCGAACTGCTGTAAGAAATGGAATTCGTGATCCATCAAACCAAGTGTTAGTGCGTAATCCTTTTTTTTGCCTACATTTTCTACAGCGCCAAGAAGGGGCTTTGGTACCTGTTGTATTTAAGCTTAATTTCATCTGATGATTATTTGTACAAAGCCTTTCTTTATGGATAATTCCTTTATCTTGAAAAAATTTAATGGCAGCCTCTTCATCAACTGGTAACTGCCAGATTGTAAAATCCATCTCAATGTTATTCTTACTTAGAGTAGTTCTAGCTTTAGATATCTAGATCTACTTGTGTAAAGTACTAAAATAACATCAACAAAAACAGCTGTAGGCTACTGCTGACTGTCAGTCACTGTTGTACTGCTACATTCAACATTCGCTAAGAGTAAAGAAAGAGTAACAGTAAAGAGTAAAGAAAGACTAAGTCACTAATGACTAAAGTTTACAAAGCATCACAACAATAATGAATGTATCGATTATAGAATATTTGAAGGGGATCTAGAATCTAGATCTAGACTACATGTTTGTAAAAATGGAGCTATCCTAAATATTACTAAATAATAATATCGTAGGTCTAGTAATGAGAAATGAAACAACGAATAGATAATACTACTTCCGCTACAAACCGGAAGGTTCGTCATTCGTCCTTTACCATTCAGCTCTGAACATAACAAACGTTTAAGAAATGATTTCGTTGCCCAAAAATACGATTGTTCAAGCTGTAACCAAAGCTGTTCCTAGAGGTAACCTAGCGTCTGTTGGTTTACCAGCAATTACAGCACAGCCTAAAATAACTGTTGAACAGCCCCCCAAAAAGCTCACAAGTTATACTCTTTCAAAATGTTTGTCATGGAATCCCACCAGTGCGAGCGTTTCTATGGGAGGTGAGTTTCTTGCACTAGCTGGATCTAGTCAACTAGTACTAGTGTACTGCACTATGTCACTATACTATACTAGTTACTATAGTATTAAGACTAAGTAAATGCTATTTTGTAACCAAGTTTCTTCCAGGCGTCTTTTTTTTTTTGGGGGGGGGGGGGGGGGGGGAGGGGCTTGAGGCTCTGCCCAAAATGAATTTTAGATAGGCCTAGAAAATGTGTATTTTATTATTTTTTACCAGTGTCCCGTCCCCCTGAAAATTTCAAGTGTTGTGTCTGCCGATGTCACACAAGAGAATAGTCCCTAAACCTGCTCCACCCAGCATTTCATTTAATTTGCTGGGAAACATGTTAATTGTTATGGGTGCCACTTTTCAGGGATATTCCGGATTAGCCAAATTTGAGCTATTTCTCAGTTCTTGGTTTGCAGTTTAAAAAAAATAATTTAGGGCCATTTTGAATTCGAAAATTTTGGCATTCTAGAAATCATTTCTATTATCAAGACTCAGCTGGATTTTTAAAGCTCTTTCCAGCATTCACACAATATTCACTGCAGTGTAAAGCTAGAATTAAATTAATCATTGTTGTAACATCATTTGTTGCACTGTTACTTTCATTTTCTTGATAAACAGAATCAGCGTAATATAAAATTTAACATTTGAATGCTGTAAACTATGCACTACAATGTACATTTCTACCACTTTTTACGGTTCAGGCCTACTAAAATAAATTTTAATATATTTCTATTACTATTTTCTATATTTCCTGAGATTACTGTCACTATATAACAAAATATTCGCAACATTAGTTTTATGACTCAAAAGAAAGATTGTAAATATGACTTCATGACATTGGAGGATGGGAATTTTAGAAAAAGAGAATCAGTATATCTTGCCAGAGTAGTTGTGTTTTCATTCATAGTGTTAAGTGAAGATCTTAAAAAAGCTTAAACAAAAAATTCTTGAGCTTGTATTCTTTGGATCTGAGTTAATTTTCACTCTGCTGCTGTATATCATACACTAGTTATTTACAATGTATTCATTTTATATATGTAATATTATTCTTTTTAGGCACCCAACAAGTTCGTTTGGCTCATACAGATGTGAAAGTCCCAGATTTTTCTGCCTACAGACGAGAACAGGTTAAAAGAGCTGATGTGAAAACTGAGGATTCTGATGCAACTCGCAAACTGACATCTTATTTGGTTGTTGGAGGTAGTTCTTTATTTGAATTTATGCTCAATGATTATACTTGCAGAAACTAATAAAAGTATAATAAATTTTATGTATAAATTCTTAATTAGCTAATTTGGGGCATTATTTTAATTATACTTTTTCTTTTTTACTTTCAGCTGGTGCAGTTACATGTGTATACAGTGCCAAGGCCATTGTCCGTGGTATTGTATCTAACCTTAGTCCAGCAGCTGATGTTGTAGCCATGTCAAAGGTGGAGATCAAACTTGGAGACATACCAGAAGGACGTAATGTCACAATGAAATGGAGAGGCAAACCCCTGTTTGTGAGACACAGAACTGATGAAGAAATTGAAAAGGAAGCAGCTGTTAATATTTCTGAGCTTCGAGATCCCCAGGCTGATTCAGAAAGGACAAAAAATCCCAAGTTCCTTATTCTTGTTGGTGTTTGCACACACTTAGGTAACTATTTTAAATTTTCAATGTAGAGCATAAAATAGCTTGTTACTTTTTAGTTGAGATAGTTAGGGATAATACATGGGAAGCATTTATGACAAAAGGGAAAGGGTTTTTTTAAACTGTTTATGTAAAATAACTAAGATTTTGTAATTTTTTAAAGCTTACTTTAAAGTTGTATATTTTGTTAAATTATTTTCTTTAAGCATCTTAAATTATTAAAAATTTTGCCTATATATAACCCACAAGTCTCAACTCCACCTCATTATACATGTAACTATTTCCAGACAGACAAAAATTTTCATTTTTAAGTGGCCAATTAATGTGTTTTATATTTGTAGCCTATTCTTCAACATATCTGATCCATTTTAGGTTGTGTACCAATTGCTGATGCTGGGGACTATGGAGGCTACTATTGCCCATGTCATGGTTCTCACTATGATGGCTCTGGAAGAATCAGGAAAGGCCCAGCTCCTTTAAATTTAGAAGTTCCTTATTATGAGTTCTTAGATGATACCACTGTTGTTGTAGGTTGATTGTTGTACAGATTCATTAGATTGAGGTATCTCAAGATAAATGTTCAAAATCACCCAAAAACAGATATTGTAATGTAAAAATAGAATAAACTACTTCAAAAATTAATAATTTAAAATTTGACAGCTGATCGTGGCATGTGTGTCAAGATGCAATGTACGGGGCAAAGTTATACCTTGTTTAAGAACTCTTGACATAAAGGTGTGGTAAACATGAAGTTTATTTAATTGAATACCTGTATACAAAATTTAATGTGCTTGGATTAAATAAATGATACATGAATATTTTCTTCTTTATTTTTCATTCATCTCTTATAGTAATTCAATAGCAACATAAACTTTTGATATACAATTACAATAACAAAAAACAATATAATACAAGTAAAATTTTAATGAGCTTATATTACAGATGAGATCATTACAAATTAAGTGTTAAAATTTTTCAACTAGAGCTAGTATCCTTTCTCTCTCAGCTTCTTTAGCTGTGGGATCTTTAGCATCGCCTATGTTTCCTGCATACTCTGGAGATAAGAGAAACAACCAAGTAAATGCTCTGCTGGTAAAAAATCTAATATTTTATGCCAGAGAAATTCGGAAAACAATTCACCTCTCATTATGCCCTTTATAACTTTAACAGAACCACCTCGCATGTTGAGAATCTGCATTATTCTTGTGTGAACCTTTAGGGCAAGAGTAACGAATTAGCAAAATAAAGCAAACAATATATTGCAGAAATGTATGCTTAATAACTCAGAAAATAAAGTAGTGCTTGCCATAATCCACCATTAATTATTTAGCGAGCAAATTGACACTATTTTGCTCTCGAATCATTAGTTGAAATAATTTCATGGGTTTGCAGAGGACATAAGCAATACACTTACAGATGGTGCTCCACTAGCTGAGGCCTCCAACATAATATAGTCAATCAGCTGCAGAGTAAACAAGCCAGAGTCCAAACGTTTCAGATAGAACTCGTCTTCCATGTCCTCATCCAAATTGTCTCCACTTTGTTTTAATCTCTGTTGAGATTCATCAGAAATTGTATCAACGTTGACGTAAACTTAACCAATAAGTTAAAATTATTAAAAAAAAGTTCCATCACTCATGTAAAATCAAAGGTTATCCTTCTAAGAATAGTATAAAAATATCTCACCATTTTCTCACGTTCTATTTGATCATCACATTGACGCACTTTATCCAAATACTTGAAGTGCAATTCCAAAAGTCTTTCAACCTGAAGATTATTTTTAGTATTAGCTCGATTTAAGCATTAGCATAACACTTTAGGAAGAAGTAAAAGTGATTAAAAAAAAAAGACGTCACCTTTTCATGATCATTTTCAGTAAATTTTAACAAAAGCCTCTGTCGTGGTGTACTCTGGCAATTTCTAAGCATGGATGCTATTATGGAACATATGTGCTCTGAAAAACAGATTAAAGAAAGTAAAATTTTGAAAAGAAATTTTTTTCCCCTTTAAATTGTAAAAACATTGGTAGCTCAAATGCCAACCCTTTTACTAAGTCTAAGGAATGAAATTGGTTTAATTTAAATACAAAAATTAAGAGAATTTTTAGTTTTCAGCAGTAGTAAAATATAATGGTATATTGATGATATACAAGTTTTAATTTTCACATTATACCAAGAGAATTTCTCAACAGAATGCCATAAAAACACACTTCATACCTTCCAACTCATCAGGTGCTGGGCCAGTTCTAGTCTGTTTTGGTGTTTTCATAAATAATGGAAATACACTCCGAAGCCCTAATATTTCAACAAATTTTTGACAGTTATCTAACCCTTCAATACCAGTCATTGCATGGTTTAATACTTTGATGGCACTGTTGCGTGACAACTTTTTCTCTCTGTTAGGAGTAATAATTTAAATATTTGGAATGAAATTTTAAATATTAATATTACAATCAAAAACATTTTAAAATTATCTCTTCAAAGTATTGGCACTGCTCTTTATCTCTGACAATGAAGACCAGGTGAAACAGATGAAGTAGTCTTGACTTTTTCTGATATATCAGAAAATAAGTCAGATGCCTATAATAGCTGAGTGGACAGGGATGTATTATATTGTTGAGCTCATTTACTGAATTCAATACTTTCAGTCATGACCTCTGCCATCCCACAAAGACATGAAACGCTAACATTAAATGACCCAGATATTTCATATTCTGTTTTAATGCTAAAAGTTAGAATCAATGTTTTCACAGGTATTCACATGTGGGGGCATTTTAAAAACTCTAAAAAAAAAAAAAGCAAAATATGCCCAGTCCTTGAGATGTACAAAGAGTTCTGGGTTTTTCTTTTGTTCAATAAATTTACATTCTATTACAATGTTAATATTCTGTATCAATGCTATACCTTAGCATCAAGTTCATCAGCTGCAGCCCTTCTCCTCGGAGGAATCTTGCTCTGTTTGCAGGATATGCCAGTGCAGAGCACATCGAATTAAACAAGTTCTCCATAAGCTCAATTTCATCTTTATTACTAGGGTCATGCTTCTTAAATGTCTGCAAAACCACAATAAAATGTTATGTTCATTCATTTACATTTTGTTTAATGAGCATGTTACAATTTTATTTTTTTTGGAAAAAAAAAGCGTAAACTTCTATTTGAATTTAATATTTAAAAATTAGGGAAAAGATCTTACAGCAAGCTGTTGCAACAAAATGTCAATACCGTCAAGCTCTCCTAAAAGCTGTCTGTTTTCTGCAATATTCAAAAATTATAAAACATATTATAAAACAACAAAAGAAGCTTATGTAAGTAAATTGTTAACCATTGTAGATTTACACTAGCTATAGTAAAATATAATTTATAACTATTTGAGCTGTAACTGACCACCTAAAAAAAAAAAATCAGAATTTTTTCCCCTTGCCGGTATACAAAACAAAGGTAGATTTAAGTAAAAATAATAAATTTAAAAGAAATAGGCCTACTGTAAATTAAAATTGAATTTTTTAAATCATTACAATTTTACATATCTGACTATGAAATCTATTTTAATCCCTTTTACTGTGACATAGTTAAGTCAAAATATCAATTAGCAATAAATGTATTTAAGTGAAAAAAATCAATTAAAATTCATTTCATGGATAAGATTCTAAATTAGAATAGATGATTCTAATTTGAAAATGCTTATTCCAACCTTCAGTGTCTTGCAATAATATAGCAATAATTTCACTACTGTACAACTTGTTCTGATCAAAAGGACGTTTCATCTAGAAAAACAAAAAAAAAATTAAAATGATTGTTCTTATAAAGGTAAAAAGATTTGTCAAAGAAAACAGCAATCATTTAAAAAATGCTTTTTAATCATAAGATTTGTAATATATAAAATAATAAATCAGTTCCTTAAATAATCATAAAACAGTTGATAAAGAATAAAAATTATTTTATTTACTCTCAGTCTTTTTAGGAGCCATTGCAGCAAGCCCTGCTGTGCAGCTTCTGAACACATCTCTGGCTTAAAATCTGTCATATTCTCAATGATTGCTGAACACAAATAATTAATATATGAATTTAACAGGGGCTAACAGCAAATATGAAACAAGATGTACTACTATTATGTGCAGATTAACTAATTTCTATGCAAACACTAAATGTAATTAATGCATACAGTACACACAAAAAAACTTAGATAACCAACTAACCAAATTTTTTATGATTATTAGATTTAAAATAGAAAGTTAATTGTGAAATTATATACACTTGCAACTAATAAAATATACATGATATCAGTCTATAGAATAAAATTAGCTTTTAACTGCATGAAAATGAGCTCTCCCTCACCAAGGCTGTTATGTACTCCTTCAAATTCCTCCTTCACATTCTCATCCAGTCTCTCCAAGTTATTTACTAGTACAGCAACCACTTGACCTTCAAGCTATAAATTAAACACAGAAATCTATCTACCTAGCTCATGTTATATTGGAACTGCTTGCAAGACACATTTTACATTTTGCTATGTTAAATTAGAATACTTTACTAGGAATAAACAAAACAACACAGAGACCATGTTTATAATAATAAAACTTTATCATTGATAAATATTGATAAACTAAAAACAAACGATATTAATAAACCTAAGAACACTAAAATTTAATAACTTACTAAAGCATCAATTAAAACAGAGGCAGTATCTTCATTTTCATTCAGTATGTCAGGGTCAGTTAGTTCTTGTAACAGGTCTATTACAGCAATAGAAATGTCTAAAACAAAAAATTAAAACCATTTCAAAGTTAAGTTTGCTGAAGTACTCCAATACCTTCAGTAATTTTGTATTATAAAACAGAAAGTGTTAATACATTTATTATGTCATTAAAAAAATGTCACTTTGAATTTAAGAATGATTTACAGTAGCTAAAACTGACTTTACCAGTATTTTCATGAGCAATTAATTGCAGCAAAGACTGAATACAGCGTAAATCAACCAGAATTTGATAATACTCAGGGACTGTTGCCATGACATGCATTTCATGAATTGTCTCATTAAGTTCAATTTCTGACTCCATGAATCTGCAAACACAGTAAATAGTGATTAATGTGATGAGATGCCAGGAAAGCTCTTGTCAGAAGCTTATGTCCCAGGAGAGGAGACAGGCTAACCTAACCTAATGTTTGAATTGTTTCATTTTTCAAATATATTAATAGTAAAGTCTGACGTGAAAAACAATAATAATAATAAACATTAATATATGTTCCAAAATCTGTTATTTACTAGCTCCCTAATCTAGTTGTTGGAGTGACCACACATTGTACTAGCAGCAAGTTTAAATAAACACCATAAAAAATATTATGAAATAATCTAACTTTTCTGGTAAATCTGGGAACTTAATTCTCATCTCTTGATTTTTATACACACGTTTCTCAAACTGTAGCAGCAGCTTTTTAAAACTTGTTTCATCCATAGCCTCAGCCTATAAAATAAATAAAAAGCAATTGATTAGACTTTTTCCTAATCAATAAAATAATCATGTCAACTTTAACTTTTGAGGGTTTTATTTAAAAAAAAACTTAATCTTACATCCGGTTCAGCCTCTATCATTTGTCTGATTTTCTCTTTTTCTTCCTCTGTCATTTGATCTTTGTCCAAATTAGAATTGTATGGATCAGCCCGTCTTTTCTTTCTTCTGTAGTCATCATCATCATCATCTTTTAATCTTTTGTGCTTCGAATCAAATGTTGGCTTTTCTGGCTAAAAAAAAGAAGCTTAATCTTTAAATACAAGCACTAGATGATAACTACATTATTAAACAGCAAGTCTGTAGTTGAGAAATAAAGAAATTACAGGAAGGGTAGGGGAAGGAAGAGGAGGGGAGAGAAGTGCAAAACTTTAATATTTTTTTAAGGCATGGGGGTAAATGTAAAAAAAAAACGTTATCAGAAAGTGTAGGTTTGGTTCCCCTGAGTAAGATGCTACCTGGTCCATCCAGCTAGTGGTGAGAATGTCAAAGCAACTTGGCTAATGCTAACAATGCAATACATTCATATACAAAATATATAAATATAAAAGGTTTGTATAGGAAAAGAAGTTCCAGGACTAACTCTAATAAAAATCTGAAAATTAACAGCTTGCTAAAAAATACTTGTCTATTTATTGGCACCAATGGGTTGGACTCTTAAAATATTTTTAAAACCCTGTTCATTATTATAAAAACAAGCCATTATAAAAACGATTATGGTGTGGTTTTGTATGACTTAAGTCCAAAAACCCCCAAATAATGTGTGTCTTCTAGTGTCCCAAGGCAAATGCAAACTAAGTCAGAAAATTGGGGTCAACATAAATGAAATCATACCATCAATCTTCTATTCCATTAAGTACTTGATGGTTAAAAGAAAAGATTTATAGTAGTTAACTAATTCAGTAACAGAAACTGCCAGTCTATAACATATTTAGTTAATCCAACTTATTTTCAAAAGGGCAGTATCTTTGGTAAGACCATTCTCCATTGCATGTGGTCCAAGGCAAAATGACTATAAGTGGTTGTGTTTAGAATGAACTAGATTTATAATTTATTTTATCGAGTATTAGGCCTAATAAAACAAAAGAGCAATTTAAAAAATTATTATCAATGCATGAATATCAGTAAGATTTTCAGGAGAGAAAGACCTTGAAATTCTTCACTTACTAGCCATTGAAATAAAATAATCAATTGACTAAACCAAAAAGAGTCAAGGGAAAGGTATGCACATAGGAAGCAATATATGATAAGACTATCAGCAAAATAACATAAAGTTTAAAGCATACTTTTAATATGATTTCATTTTGTTAAGATGCTTATCAATCCTAGTAACTTTTAGAGATAATATGTCAAGTTATATTAACAATTTAAAAAAAAAAAAATGACAAATTCACTTATGAAAAACTAAACACATGCCTAGTATTCTTTTTTTTAATCTATGCTGATGAAAATAGGCTGACTTTAACTTGGGAGTTCTTTTATTTTTTAGTAAAAATTACTTTGGACAGAAAGTAAATATGTGTGTAACTGACTATGCATACTAGAATCTAGATCTATATAATAATTGTTTTTGGGTACTTTATTGCACCAGTTTTAAATTTTCATCAAGAGGGGTTGGAAGCAAGTGTTTTTACTGATATGGCAATATTGAGATAAGAGCCATTTTAAAACCAAAGGTAAACATAACAATGGACCAAACAAGTGACACATACACACATGCACGATGATAGAGACAAAATGTAGCTTCCTAATTCCTTGAATAAATAAGCTACGACTATTCACAGTTCACTATGAATAGCCCTCAGAAGGTTATTTGTACACAGACTGATCAGTGTAAAGTATTTTTTCTGTGATTCTGTAAGTCTACTATTTATGCAATATGTATTGTTATGTAGGTCTAATGGGTTCAGATCTAACCTAATCCCCAAAACTATACCTAACCTCTAAACCTAAAAAAGTTCAACAAACAGTCTTTTATTTACAAGTAAAATAGAAACAAAAAAGCAAAATAAAAACTCTGAGCCAAAAGGATTAGAACCCACACTGTGAAAGCAGTATGCCTGAAGCACAACCACCAGAGTTATATGTCAGCTTTTGTTATTTGTATGAGGTTTGAGCTTAGAAAATAATATAGAAAGGAAATCGATGCTTTCAAAAGACAAAAACATGTAAGCTGATGTGTCACTTCTTTTTAGACTCTCTGACCTGGCGGGACTCTGGGCAGGTGAAGTAGAATTCACCTGTTTCTCTGACCTTAGCATAAGGGATAGTGTGGTCAGCATCATGCTCTGCCAAATTTTTTTTTTTATAAGACAAAAAAAATGTTGACTGAGGTGTGAAGTCTTTTTAGATGTGGTGGTCTCCCTTTTTGTGATGATGTGTGACATTGGGGAGAGGGAGGGGGAAAAATAAAAATCATGACATCATTTATGAATGACACCTAAACCCATGGTTATCCAAAGGATGATTGGTGGTCTAGTAAATTAAAAAAAAATAATATGATTGAATTGTTGGTTGCCTAAAAATAGCAAACTGGGAATAGAGTGTAAAGGCTATCTGTATTGAATTGCAAATATTAATTATTAATAGACTCTCAATGGATTTTTGAAAGCTGTTGACTACTGAAAATGATTATGTAATATGTGTAAAGTATGTGTTATTTCTTTGAGTCTAGTAAAACAAGTAACTAGTTGAACTAGTTGCTAAGTCCTAGTAATACTAAAGTCGTCTAAAGTACTAAGTAAGTAGGTCTTACTAAGTAGGCCTATATACTATATTTATAATATAGGCCTAATAATTATATTAAGGCTAGGCCTATATGATAGCCTATATATATTATATTTGTACATAATAGCAATAGCTAGGCTACTCTTTTTATATTTATTTTATAACTTAATCATTAACTTATTATATAGGCCTAATTTGAAGAAATTTGAATTTTTATGAGACTAACTACTATGGTTAATTTAAGTTAATAGTTTTATGTTTAGAAGTTAAGACTATTGTAGGACTGGGAGTAAAAGCACGATATAGCGTCGGTTATTATTCCGGAACTGTACAGCAGTAAAAAACAGTAAAACCATGGCGTAGTCTGACGAGCCGTTCCGGAAACCACCGGAAATACTGTAAACCATAATTTATTTGCCGCCATATTATTTTTAATTCACAAGACAATGTTTAAAAATGTGCAAGGATTGATTTTAGTTGCATTTTAAACACTGTTTTTCTAATTATTTTGTATTTCTAATTATTTTAAGTGTATGTGCTAATTATTGCTGCTACTAAACGTTATTCTACCTCTTCTTACTACTTTTATCTTTACTAACAGAACTAGAGCTAGATCTAGTTGTCGCAAATCTTCTGCAGGTTTTTTCTGTGTTTCTTAAAAAAACGTTAATTACCACACTCGGCTTTATTAATAATATTTAGATTTACTAATTGTTGCTAATTTTTTTGTCAGTTAAACATTAAATTTATAAATTAAGTTAAAACTTTAATTTAATGCACTTGACTTTATTTTTCTTTCAACTGTCAAATAAACTATGGTTTAAGTAAAGTTTAAGTTACAACAGTAACGAATGTTACCGAAACTCAACAAACATTAGCCTACTTTACATTACCCAATAATTTCCGACGCTATATCGTGATTTTACAGGACTTGGGTTGGGATAGGATTATTAACAATTGACAGAGCGTAGATGCTAGAGAGGCAGAGGAGATTAGGATTCTAGCAGGGGAGAGGGGGGGGGGGATGACTACTCGACAACTTGGGTTTTGAAAAATGTTTAGAAAATTGTATAAAGCTGCACTAGTTTAGTATAGTGTTACGTCCTTTGCAGAAAACTAACGAAAATCTAGTAAGTGAATTTGTGATACGGTAGATAGATTCTATATTAAATATTAAAATGGTAAAAGTATGGGTTTAGTTAATTTAAGTGTTCTTGTAAATTAAAACCTTAAACGAAAGTAGCTCTTCGACATCCATGTTGACAAACGTTCTATGGAAGCAGTTCCAGCACTTTTTAATCTGCGAAATATAAAGCCAAAATATTTTTTGCAATTAAAAAAAATGTTGATTAATTGCAATAAATAAATAAGATATTCACATGCGTGTTAAAATTAATAGATATAGTTTTTATATCTGACTTAATATTTCCCCCAACATGTAAGAGTACATTAGTTTAGCTTATAAAACTAAGGCGTAGGCCATTGTGGTATTCAACAACCATGCACAGGTCTATCAAGTCACATGAACAAACTTAACCAATCACAGGCTTGCAATGGCTGCCTCTACATAGAGTGGAAAGGTGTTGATTTTCATTATTTAATTTGTTTATTTTACACGATTTAGCGACTGTAAAACTAAAATAATTTGCTGGGTGAAATTTCAAGGTATGCCTTTAGCTGCTAATAAAGTCCTGCTTTAGGAAAAATCTAAGGTGATAGATTATTTGATAAGATATTAAAAACAATTTTACCCTTTTTTAAAAATGAAAATCAAAAAAGTTCTTAAAAACATTTCTGATTCTGGAAAAGTGGAAACCGTAGAATTTAAATCTAAAGTCTAGGTTCTAGATCTCTAATTTAGTAATTATTTCTAAATCTGTGCCTCAATTGTAGAACAAGTAATTCGAGATCTAGACTAGTTTATTTTTTAAAAGTTTCTAGACTAGAGTAAAGTTCCTCGTGGGATCACACATAGCAAAAAATTCCGAACTCCCGATTTTCATCAGGCGCTATTTTGTAACCGTTTCACACAGAAACAAACCGAAAGTACTTTATTACTCCACTGCCATTCTACTCTAATATGCATGAGTTATTTTGTATTCATACGCATAGTATTTGAGATATTCATGTTTTAGTGACGAACCTCCTTGGGATCAACTTTTCCCCCTTTTTTTTTTGCCTGAGATCACCTGTCCCTGCTTGGGATCACTAGCGTATTTTTTACGTTTTGATCCAATTTTAATAATTGAAATAAACATTTTACTCATTTAAACGTGTTGTTGATTGTATAATTAATTAATAGATTTGCAAAAACCAAATAAAAACACGTTAATAAATTTATTAACTACAAATTACGGATGACCCAGTGATGACTCAAGGGACGCAACTATAATAATCATAACAAAGGGACGTAACAATCACTAACAAGACAAAACGTAACATTTGCTTCGATTGGATTGTTTGTAGAGACACAAACTAGATTTAGAAGAAGTAGACGATCTAAATAATTAAAACAACAGCAAAAAAATAGAAATTATATAGGTTCTAGACTTAGCTTGAAATATAGAGCATCTAGATCTAGGCTAGTCTAGCTCAAGTCGTTGATGATCCCAACGAGGTGAAACCACCCTAATTGTTACCCCAGCTGGGATCACCCCCATTTCACATCTAAGATTATTTTATTAGCCTTATCTATCGTATGTACAGTGTCCCGCACATAAATAGAAGCTATTTATAGTTAACCTAGTTATAAAAAGCTTTGATTGGTTGGTTTTATTCATCTTATCCGGGACCTAGTGCTTTTCATACCGGGGAACTAGAATCGCCTACGACGTCATACCTCGAAACTTGAAAATTTAAAAACTCGTCTTTCAGAAGGAATAAAACAAAAGAATTTGACCTGGATATATTTAGAAATGGACATGTTTACAGCAGATATTGGTAGTTTCGTATAAAACATCCAAACAAATATTATACGAAGCGATAAACATGAATGTGATCCCACCGAGGTTTTGATCCCACGAGGAACTTTACTCTAGATCTAGAATCTAGCAGTAGAGTTTACTTAGTTTACTTGTCTATGTGCTACAACTAGAAGACAAAGTTACGAAAGTATTAGCCTGCCTTAGTAATTAAATTAGTTAGCCCAAATAAATTAGATATTCTGAGTCAACAGTCAATTCTCACTGATCTTACACTAAATCTAAAATTTAGTCTAGATCTAGATCTTCTTGAGTTTCAATTTAAACATGACTACTGAAGTGAATAGGCCTACTAAAGAGTAAAGACTAAAGACCCACATTTAATCCATCAAGCACTAATTTTGACTTTTAAGGGTGTTAGCTTGTTTTAGATACTTAGGCCTATAGGCCCTACTTATTTTATAATTTGTGACATGGCAGGCCGAAGAGGTATAGGGCCTACATTTTAAAAAATTAGTCCAAGGTTACTGGAACTAAAATAAAATTTGCCATATTGTTGTTAGCAATGGGCCTACCCTGAGGTTTAGTTTATATGTAATGCCAACAACTGTTTGGGTATTTTTTTATACTAGTGTTTGATAACGAAATCTTCTTAAAAAGGGGGTGTTAGGTAATGGGTAGTTAACTTAAATACACACATGGCTTGCTAATATCAATGCTAACCCCATCTCTAGTCCTACCATATGCCTAACCCTAATTTCTAACCACAAACTAGTCGAGATTACTATACTATTAACAACTATTTAATAAATCTAAAATATAGGCCTAATATTTTTTACGAAGTGACTCTGAAAAAGATTTTTCACCTCAACGTCTCCACCTAATTGACAAAAGATAGTTCTGCGCATGCGCAGTGACTTAGGGCTAGGGTTCTGCGATTGTAAACACATGCATGCGCAGTACCATCGAAAACATTGCCGCGAAGACATCGTAGGTTCTCTCCATTGCGCATGCGTATCTTTTTCCGGCTAGCATCACCCTATTCTTTAATAAGGCCTAATTAAAAATAAATTTGTTAGCCCAATGTTTCGAATAGGTCTATTGATCTAGACTCTGTAGTCACAGGCAATTGTCTTTGTATCTATTTGATATGGAAAATAGTAAAATGCAGAGTACTTTTGCTTGCTCTGTTCTTCTCTGCTGACTAATTCTAGATTTAAATCTATCTACAAGAACCTTATTTCAGGTAGAACTATTAATCATAGTAGGTAGTAACCAGTAGTAGAATAGGAAAGTAGCTAGACTAACTCATTGCTGATTGATGAAGAGATTATGCCTAAAATAAATGGCATACTATTAGGCTTATTGGTATCAGCCATGCTTGCAGTAGAAAGTAACCAGAGTATGCCCAATACTTTCAATTTGGTTTTGCATATTAAATAGTTATTAGGCCTAATTTATAGTAAATTAAACATTTTTCAGTGTAAAAAATGTGTTAAATAAGCCAAATTAAAATTTTCTACAGCTTCATAGAAACAATTGAGTAGTCTTAACTTAAGTGTAGCCCTTTTTGCTAAGAGTAATATAAAAAAGAAGCAATAAGAGTAATGAATGTTTCTTGTTAATGAAAACTCTTGAATAGTGATGTGTTTGCAAATGATTGCTAAGTTAGTGTTGAATAATAAACAGAAAGAGCATACTTTTTAAATGTAAAATTTAGGTCTAATGTTAAACTATTAATTGTAGTCCAAAGTTAACATTTCCTTCTTTTTGGTATTTCAGACTTTTAATGGAGAGAAGTGTGGATGAAGGTACTAGAGTGGAAGCTGGCGGAGACAGTGAGGAAAACGAATCGAGTGAAAATGTTAATTCATCCAATATAAATTTTCTTAAGGAAAATGAAGATTCTATTGAAGGGTCTCTATCCATAGATCCAAGTGACATAAAACTCAGTGATGGTACAAATAAAAATGTTGACGATACAGAAAAATTGTCCCAAAAAGATTTGGGGACTGAACTATCTACTTGTAGTCATGATGAGCTAGCAGAAGATGTAAAAAATACCTCTGACTTAGACAAAGCTGCATCTATTAGTGAACAACATGCTACTGTTGAAGATTCTTCTAGATCATCACCTCTCAGTAATAGCAATAGTGAGTCATCTGAAAGGGAGATTAATCTGGAATCATCAAGCCCTAATACTGAAGAATCTGGTCCTAGTATAGATGCTTCCCTATCTGAGCCCTTACAAAAAAGTTCTGTTGCTGGGTTTGACTCAGAAGTACCAGTGCTGCATGCAGCACCTGCTGGACCTTCAAATGACAGAGAAGACATCAGTGAGGATGAGCTGGATATTGATTCTACTGGGAGCGTAGATCAAGAGGTTACCCAGCCCCAAAATGTTGCCCCTGTTGACACCTTAGATATTCAGGGTCCTACTAATGTTGAGGTTTCAATGGAATTGTCTAGAGATACTGGTGGTACTCTTCCTGAGACACAATTGATCAATGATGATACTAGGGGCACCATATCAAGTGATGATAGAGAAATAATTGACCTGAAGCTAGAAGATGCTGTGGGTAAAAGTGACGACGACGATGATTTTAATCGTGAATCTAAAGGAGCTAGCGAAGATTTAGAAGCTGTCTCTGATGATGAGTTACCAGAAGCGGCACAAGTTGCTCCGACTTTATCAGAACCTAGCAGTTCTACAATGATTGGAGATGTAGTGAGTTCAGAAGATGAAGGGGCTTTAAGTCTAGAGAACGTGTATGGAGCTTTACATGACACCGAGCACAATTCAGTACATCGGATATCCTCCAACCTTGATATTTCTGAGGCTTCTAATAGCTATGTTAGCTCAACAGATTTACATAGGGCATTAGATAAAGAAGATTCTTTGTCACAACAAAATTCTGAGCCACTTAACACTAATATACCAAGTCTGCCTCCTTTGGAGGCTGAACCTATATCAGATGAGGAAGACATGGAGCAAGGAGATGACAATCCATCTGGCTGTGATGGTGATGGGGAAGCAGGCGAGATTAAAAGTCCAGTTCGTTCTCCTATTTCCGAACAAGGTGGACTTTTGGGTGAGGTTGAGCCTATTTCTGCAGATGAAACTAGTGATACTGATGGAGAATTACATAGCGGAGATGATGACTCCAGGCCTGGGGAGAGCGGACTAAAATCTGGCAATAACTTTGAATCTATAGAATCTGATGAAGATGGTGATTTAGAGGCCAATTCATCTAATAAACCTTCTTTAAGATCTCATTCTTCTGGTATGTTAAATGTTGAGGAAAAAAAGATTAGTAGTGATTATATGGAGAATATTTCTGATGAAGAAAACTTAGAGCAAGGGGATGGCTATAGAAAGTCTGGTAAAGTTTCTCTTAGACTCTCAGAAGAAAATTTACAACTTAGCAATTCACTTAATAAGGATATAGAATCTGAAAAAAAGCCTTTAGCTACAAACTTTAATGAACATCAAGTAGAACTTGATTATGAAGAGAATGAGGGAGAAGAAGGTGTTGGTAAAATAGAGGAATTACCTGAGCCTAAAACTAAAGATGATGGTGAAGAAGGAGAACTTGCAGAGGTAAAAAAAAAATTTCTTGTGTATCGAATTTTTGTTTCAAAATAAGATAATTTTTTCCTTTTATATATATCATTGAACCTGAACTCTTAAATATATGTACCTGTACTTTTTAGTCCTCCTTAATTAATTTAAAAATTTGTTTGGAAATAGCATATCACTTTCTGAATTATAATTATTTTTTACATAGAAAGCAGTCATTTAATCTAGCTTCAATGAGTATATAGAATAGCATTTGCTTCTTTGCTGTTTGTTTTTGTTTTTTGAATTGGTTTCATTTTGCATTCTGAGAGATCTGCCAGGATTTGTACAATATTTATTGAAAATATTAATTTAAAACTTTTACTGACATTTTTTAGGCTGCCGGCTCTGATAAAGATGAAGGGGAATTAAGTGTAAGATATTAATTTATATTAACATAGATAATCCACTTGTTTTGTCTGTAATATAATGCAGCACTAATAGTTATGGATAAAAAAAATCAGACTTATAATGTTTTAAATTTAATAGTCATTTTAAAAACACAACCTGTAATTTGCATTTATTTTAAGTTGATAAAAATATGTTTTTTTCTACCTTACACACAGGCTACACAAGAAAATTTAATTTTAAAAATCTACTTAGTATTATGGTACTAATTTGAATTTGTTTAAAATGTAATTCATTTATTTTTAGGATGATGATTGTGAGGAAGGTGAAATTAAAGAACCTGGCAGCAAAAAGCCTTTTGTTACACCAATGTGCAGGTTCTTCCAAAAAGGCAATTGCACTTGGGGCATCAACTGTAGATTTTTGCATCCAGGTGTAAATGATAAAGGTAAGCTGCTCTTTAATTTGTTTGATTTAAGTGACAAAACCTATTCAACACACACTGTCTGACTACAACAGTATTACAATTAAATTATTCTCTGATTAATACATCTTTGCAAGAGTTTATCATGAAGTGTTAGATCTTTGTTTGTACACTAGATTAACATTTTTTCCGGATTTTATTTTTAAAAGGCAGTAAAAAAGTGTTAATGTAAAATAATATAGATGCCTACAAATTGGCTTTAATTTAAAATAAATATTTTATCTTCAAATGAAAGATTCTGCTAAATTAATCGACCATGTTTTAAATTATATGAATTCAATTATTTGTATTGATCAGGTAACTACCAGATGATAGAAATACCTGGTTTCAAACCTCTTGGGATCAGATCTCGAATAGGGGTTCCAGGACCATGGCCTCAGGTTAATTTATTTTTTAATTTCATTTTTATTGTCTAACGATAATTGAACAATTGGTTAACTTAGCAATGAAATACAAATTTAAAAAAAATTGTTTTTAATTGTGGCTTGTTTTTAAATTTTCCATTCCTTTAAAAGTATTAGTTTATCTTATTAAGAAGTTTTATGTAGTTTTCAAAGCGCTATTTGAATATTGATTTATGTATTGAACTAGTTCAATAATACATTTGACTTTTTTCTGTTGTAGCAACCTGAAGTACCCATAGAACTCCCACCTCCTCCAATTCCAGACATTCCACCTGTTGAAACAGCTTGGGAAAGAGGCCTCAGGATTGCTAAAGAGGTTTGGGAGTTTCTGATTTTCCAAACATTCAAATAGTATCAAATCTCTTTCAAAACAATTGTATTATAATTTTTTTTCAATTTCAGCAAAGAAAAAAAGCAAATGAAAGAAAAGAGCTTGAACCCGATTTTGAAGAAAAATGTTTAAATTTATCAGTTGATGAGGAGAGAGAATTGAACAAGGAGAACGAACGAATGCCCAAAATCATTCCTAAAGACCCTTACTATGACCAGCAAGCGTAAGTATATATTTCAGTATTTTATAACAAAACATTGAACAAAAAAAGCCAATACCATGGGGCTGTACTCCCCTCTTTTTTTTTAAAATGGTGGTAGACTGATTAGTTTCCCTTTGTCTATGTAATACAATTTTGAAATACATTTTGCTTATGTATAATTCAAACAGGCCAATTTGAAATTTAAAATTATTTCATGTAAAATTATTTTTAAAAAAATCAATAGCAAGTTAGATTGAAATATACATTTTAGTGACAGTTAAGTTCTCAGGAGGTTTTTTTTATACGATTAGGTTGAATCATTTATAGGTTAACACATTGCATAGTCTTGCTAATGCAAATAACTTACTAGAATCAATTTGTTATAAAAAAAAATATCTTTAACCTCCCAGATTTGAAGAGGATGAATATTATAAAATACCAAGAGATCCTTGGCAGACTGGCCACTATGAAAATTTTGAAGTGAGATACCACAGAGAAAGCTCTTTTTCTCCACCATATCGGGTAAAATAATTTTCTTAAAAATTATTGCATTGTTACTTCAATAAGATGTTCAAAATAATAAAATGTTCATCTTGTTTGTGGTTGTAAATTTAGGATAAAACTATGATGATGCCACCATCAAGATACAGCCGGCCTTACAGTCCACCAGTTGATAAGTAAGTCTTGTTGATATTATTGAAGGTTAAAAATTATTTGAATAGAGCTATTAATTTATTTTAAGATCCATCTTTTGTCTTAATAGATTTTTTGCATTTTATTTTTAAAAAAATTTAAATGAAGTAATTTCATAAAACAGGTGAACTCTACTTTATCTTCCACTTGGGCCGCCAGGTCCAAAAAGGGAAATTTACCTACTTCTGAGTCATAATAATTGTAGTTGATAAAAAAGTTAACAGTTTAGGGCCATCTCTAAAGTAAAGATTTTAAGCTACAAAAATAAAAAGTTTACTGATTGTTACTTAGTATTAAGAAACTTTTTTGCTCTTTGGTTGAACTGTACACTTTACAAAAGAAATTTGTAATTCTAGATTTGGAAGAGAGAGACTAGAAAGAAGAGAACCATTTAGACCTGAACCCCCTCCAGTACCTATTACATCCCATGATTATCCATCTCCCATTAAAAGACCAGATGAATGGACTGATCCATGGCGAAGGTAAAAAAATATGTTCAAACTATTGTTATCTCTCAACACCCATTGGTGCATGTGGTATCAACAAGTTCTAGCTATAACCTCTGCCTGTTGGAAAGTTAGGCTTCTTTCTTCATGTTTTTTTTGTCATCCTTTGTTTTCTCTTGCCCTTGGTGTTCACCTGAAAGCAGTCCTAGCTAATACATCTGCTCTCAATCATAGCACATGGCCCAACCATTTCCACCTTCTGTGTCTGATAACTACTGTTAATGGTTGAATGAGTGTTCTTTTTAACTCCTCATTTGAGGTAGTGTTTTGACAGAAGATTAGAAGATTCTCAATATTTGTGTTAAGCACTTCATGATTATGTAGCTTTAGTATGAGGTTTGGATGGTTTACATGTTAAATGTATATTGCAGGTCCAAGTCTCCTCAAGCACACAAGCCCAAACCTAGAAATCACTCGCGTGGTAGAAGGGCACATAGATCTGTCAGTGATTCCTCAAACTCATCCAGGTATTTAATTTGCATTAATATACATATGTATTTATCAACTATTTAAGAATTTCATTGAAAGGGTGATAGCACATGAGCTGATTATTAAATGATTTAACCTACTCATTTTCTTTCATAAAGCTAGTCACAGGTTCATTTTCTGACACTTAGCTCCAAAAACAATATTTAAACCTTTGTTTTTTACCTCATGTTTTTTGCATTTTATTATATAGATATTCAAAGATATTGATAGCTGTATAAAATATCTGAGTAAAAATCTGGAAAATTTTGAATTTGACTTTTTAGAAAGCAGTCTAAACCTTGTACATGTAATTTCTCAAACAAGTTCAATGAATCTTTACTAAAATTTATGTGATCTAATTAATTCTAGGTCAAGTTCAGGATCATCTTCAGGATCATCGCGTAGTAGTCGTTCTTTCAGTGGCTCATCTGGCAGTTCTAGGTATTTATACTCTTACCCTTTTTGTACAGTATATTAAGCTACATGGTAAGATAAAATTTGAGCTTGGATACTGTTGAAGTTTTAAAAAATAATATTAAACTTTTGGGTAATAATGACGTTTTAAATAGCCTGCAACCGGTCCTTAATGTTTTGTAAAATTGGATAAGTTATTTTAATTATCTTACTCTTGATAAAATTATAGCTCTTAGGCCTTTAACACAATTCAATTTTCTTTTCTTGTAATTTTTAAGCAATAAATAGATACTTATCCTTTGGATATAAAATTAGTTTTGAGCGTGCTCATAAATGTACTTCTCATTCAAACAGAGTTTGGAAGCAAAACATTTCTAAAGTAATAACTTTTGTGCCAAAGAAAAAACGGTATACCTGAAAAGAGCACTGTTAAACTTTATTCATTGCTAGCTTTTTAATACAAAGTTCAATGTCAGTAGTTCAAAGTTATTGTAAAACATGCTTTGCCCCTTTGGCATTTTGTTGAAATTTATGTTAACATTTTGATCTACTCACAGTTGAGAAATGTTATTAGAGTTGTAAAACAATTGTGTATTTACTTAAGTATAACAGAAAATCAATCATGCATTATTATGTTGTTTTCAGCAACAATCTAAAAAAGATTTATTTAAAGTCTTAGTGAATTATTCTTACAACATTATCACTATTTTAAAATTTAAATTAATTTAATTTAAAAAAATGTGTTTACTTTCTAACTTTAAAAAAATATGAAATTTTTATCTATTTCTAACACAGAAACACAGTCATATAAAAAATGAATGACCCCCATTAACAATTTTTAAACCTATAATTATTAATATATAGCCTACCTTAAAAAGAACTTTTACCTTTACTGGTTAAAATGGAAATGTACAAATACTTACAATAGGGCCAAAAGAGCTTAATGTTAAAAAAGACAAAATTTTAATAACACGCATGTTTTGTCATCAGCCATTCACGATCTCCAGAGCCTGCTCCCCCTGGTGTAGATAGACATGATCATTATTTTTCTCCATCACGGTAATTATTATAATTTTTAAACATTATCATTTTAGAAGTACTTTATATTTCTGTATAGTCATGAAAATATTATTTTTTTTCTAGCTGTTATGGTTAAGTTCTATTAAAAAGTCTGAATTATTTACAGTGACCAACCCAGAAGTGCAGTTGCAGTTCGGGGTCGTGGTGGCTACAACAATTATGATCAAAACTACAGGAGAGGTAGTCGAGGCTATGATAGGTCTAGGGTTGGCAACAGTGGATACCAGCAGCGAGGAAACTATCGTGGTGGTGGTGGCGGAGGCTACTATAATAATTATGGTGGGGGAGGTGGTGGTTACCCAGAAAGAGACATGAGAGACAGGGGTAGGGATGAGAGATTAGGAAGAAGAGGTCGATCACCCCCTGACAGACCACTACCATATGTTAGGTATGTACTTTTTAAACTTGTCCATGTTACATATTTAAACTTTAATGTAGCATTTTGTAGTAACTGTAGTTACCTTTAAAATATGTTTAAAAATAAGGATGCAATGGGAAAGCTTTATGATCTTAAACCTTTTATTCTAGACCTAGGCCAAAAAGTGCTAGTAGTCGTTCAAGTTCCAGTAGATCACGCTCAAGGAGTCGTGGCAGATTCACATCTTCACACTCTAGATCCAGTTCTGGAAGTTCACGATCTAGCAGCTCCTCAAGTTCATCTGCTGGTAGTGCTGATTCTGAACATTTGTATAGAGACTTGGGACCACCAGCAAAGAACCCAAGAGGGCAACCTGTAGCCAAAAAGAAAAGGAGTAAGCAAAAGTTATTGTCCTAGAATACTAAAAAATAAAATTATTTTTTTTTTAAAATATATTTTTTCAACATTGCTTAAAAAACTTATTACATTTAAAAAAATCATTAACTGTTATTTTAAAATCAATTTTTCAGCCAATAGTCATAAAGAACATACCAAAAACATACCCATGCCTCCTCAATCTGGTCCAATGATGGGTCAACCCCACTCTCCAAAAAATCTCGACCGTATACCACACCCTCGTGATCCCAAAAATATGCCCCCTGGCCCAGTTCCAGGCAGAAATGAATCAAAATATGCAAGTCGCAATGCGCCCCAGGCACCCATTAAAGCTAAAGATCCTCTCAAAGTTGTTGGACAGAAGTCAAATATCAAGCTCACATTACTACCAAAGGTAAGTATTAGAGCTATTGTACTGTCTAATGTTACACTGAAAAATTTAAACCAGCTGTATCATGTTTTATTGTTTAAAAATATCTATTCAATCATTGTAGCAGCAGCAGTCATCTTTAGGCAACAGGCCGAATCCTCTGGACTCTCCACCTCACAATAAACGCAGATTGTCAGAGAGAGATACCTCACCTGTCCCTGCACCACCAGCCAAACGCTTGAACCTGCCACTACCTCAGGCATCATCTGCTTTGAGACTAGCTACAGGTACTTGGTTAATTCTGATCAGATACACAAGCATTATTTTTTAATCTCAGTTTAATGCAAAAATTACTCAACAATTTATTTTTTTTGTACAGAAAAAGCTTCAAAGTTACAGTTGCGTCAAGAAAGAGGCAAGTCCCCTCCTCCTGTTCCTGTACCCCAGCCTCCGCTACCACCAAACGCCCCGAGGACCAAGGCACCAATCTCCCCTCAGAAACAACCAAGTAGCTCTAAATCTCGTATCCCAGAGCCCACAGTAGCCAAAGCTGTCCCGAAAGCTCCATCAGCGAATGCCCCCACAGCAACAGCCACAGGGGCGAAGGCTAAGAAAAGCATGTCATCTCGCAGAGAGGAGCTGCTCAAACAACTGAAAGCTGTGGAAGATGCTATTGCCAGGAAAAAGTCCAAGCTTCAGTGATGTCGTTCTTGTCTGCACTCTTGTTTTAGTATGCAAGGTATGAGAGTCTATTGAATAGTGTGAAAATGGTGCGCATGTGTGAGAATAGGTCAGTGTATATATTATAATTCAGTCATTTTATGATATATTTAAGTGTTCACCGATTATTCTTTTTCCAAATTAATTTAAAAAACTTAAGTATTGTCATAACTTTTAGACAACAGTGCCTTTGTTGGCTGCTAAAGCAACTCGTTGATTATTTTATTTCAATTAAATATCTAACAGTTATGACAGTTCTTTACAATGGATGTTCTAGAAATTTGCCCCAATATGAACATCATTGGTTAGATAAAAAAATTCATTGTATATAAGTACATAAGTGTTTTGTAAGACGTATTACATTTCAGTGAGTTGGTCACTTCTGAAATGTATTGCCATTAAAATAATTATTTTCTTTTATTTAGAAAATATTTATAATGCACATAGTAGGAAACATTGATTTGTTTTATATTTTATGATTGTGACAGAATTTTAATTTACAAATTATTCAGTTCTGATTGATCTAGAATACATTTTTCTAGAATAATAGATGTAAAATTTTGCTTTTGGTCTAATACCAACCTCAAATGTACCTTGGGTTAAGGTGATTTAAATTTTCTTTTTTGACTATAGCACATTAAATTTCTGTTGCAGAGAAGTGTTTGTGTACATTGTTCCACAATATAAATAGTAGTTGAGTTATTTTCTCTTACATGTGCAGTATTTGGTGGTCCACTTGACAAAAAAAGCCATCAGTGCATTTAGTGGGCTTTACTTGTACAAAGACCTGTTCATTGTTTCTGATGCACTAGTATTATTGATTTCACCTGAAGTTTTTTTTTTTTATGGGAGCTATGCTCCCACTTAACTGGTGAATGAATGTATATGATGTGTGATTTCACCCCGGTATATGATTCATCTAGTAAATTGCACTCACACCTTTTGAGTGAACATTAGCATGAAGATCAGAAGAATGTTGAGCTCTAGTTTGTTGTTAGCTACTAAGTCACAGTTGTCCCCCTTGGGATAAGGTACAGTTTTTTTAGAAGAAAAAAAAAGCAATAGACTTTTTTAATGTTTACAAAAACCATGACCATCAATTGGTGCACCCCATCACAAAAGTGATGTAACATAAGGAACATTGCATTGTTAGGTAAAATAATTTGATTTCAAGTTAAATGTACACATTAATCTTAGAAGTTATTTATCTTAACTTATTAATTTTGGTTGTCAATAGATGTTTCTAAAATAGGTGAGAAGATGAAATTTCCAACATTTTCTTAATCTTTGTGTGATATCTTCCTGTTTCTATCTAAGAAAAATTTTAAGGAGCAACTCTAGAACTTTGTTTAACTATGATGCTTGACTATGATCTTCAGTCACCAGTCTGTATTTTGGTCTCACAAAATTGTGTAAATATAATTCATCAGACAAGTCACAAGCCACTTATGTGGCATTTTGTAGTAATAATTGTGTCCTGTGTTGAGATCTTACCTTATTGTTATAATGTTACTTACATTTCTTATGAAAAGAAACTGCAATTGTATGTTGTCATTATTTTTTTTTTTGCACCAATTTGATTTTCTCCATCTGGAAATCTCATTGTTTTAGTGTTAGTTAATGGTTGGTAGGGAGTATAGAGTTAATGGTAAATAGTGCTTGAATTGGTTTGCCCTACTCCGTTTTAGTCACCTTGTTTAAGTATTGTGAATTTTATTTTTGTGATTAGAGAGAAAAAAATTATCAAATAATTGGTTGGCAACTGGTGTTTGGGTTTTATATTATGGTTGTGTCGGCATTTGATTCAATAGTGTGCTGATGCAAATTGTTTTTGTATCAGTTTTCAAATTCTATTCTTGATAAAGATTTGACTGTAAAAATAAAAAACTAAATAAAAAAGATTTCTCAAGCTTGTGTGTGACAGTGTGTGCAAGGGGTGGAGTCGAGTGGGGAACTGTAGGGCAATTATTCTTGTAAATAGCACTTGAATTAGATCTAGTTTTTTTGTGTTATGTCATTTTAAGCATATTTTCAACAAAAAAAAATCATATGAATAAAATGTGGGCAATGCCCAGACATGAACATTCAAAATTATTTCTTTCTTAAATTAGTTAACCTTTCTGACTGGGTTCAATTTAAAGCTACTTTTTAAGAACCAAGACATTACAATTAATGGAAATTTTATCCAATTTGTAAACATTTGTTCCCCCTGACATTGAGTTAGTTGGTCATCTAAATGCACAATACTGGACAGTTCCGGTGATATCTTCGCTAAAATGCAACTTTACCAGTTAGTGCATGCTATGATCCAATGTGAGATAACCCCTTTTTTTGTATAAAAAATATTTTATTTCCGGAAATGACCCGCTTGATTTCGTCCCGAATTGTGTCGGGCATGAAACGCCCCTGAGTACTCTCCACGGTCGGGCCAACAAAGCACTTAACGATGTTGTTGGGTTGTCCCCCCTTGTCCCCTTCTCCCTGTCTGAAAAAAACAACCCCGCTTTATTTTGTTTTTAAATCTCTTCTCTGAAAAACCTGGCCAGTTTGAAGCTATCCAATTTGCCGGTGCTGAAACACAACAATAGATTCATCTTAGCCTGTCACGCTGTGTATACTTTTAATTAGGAGCTAACGCAAGCTGTGGCTGAAAGGACCTCTCTCCTTTAATTCAAATATTATCAAGTGTTTTCTTTTTTTATGGCCCACAAGCTACACAGCAAACCTCGGTGCTCAATTCTATGTTTGTTGTCGTTGTCTCTCAAAGCGAGTTTAAAGGTATGCTTTGTGTCCATGGCAACCATGCGTGGTATTTTTTTTTTACTTGCACATGTTATACACTGCCCTTCCCACATCCCCCCTCCCCCTTTAAACCACAAACCGCGAAGACAAACTAAGCTTATAGAAATAATATTTAAAAAATATTTAGATTACAAAACTGCGCTCTGCTGAGAGAGAACTTCGTATTTCTCTGCTGTTACGATCATCACGTAGCGCTTGTCAGAAATTGCGTAAACGCCCTTTGATGTGAAACTCTTCAAGCAGAAAAATAAATACGAGCTCAAAACGTGTCGAGATTTGTTTTGAACCCTTAAGACAATACTTGTTCCGTGTTTTTACAGCGCTAATCGAACAATGGTTTATTTTTTTCTCAGTGACCGTGATCGACACTCGACCAAAGACATATGCTTATACATATTACGAATCGGCTCCCTTGGGTCCATCACTTGTGGGAAGGGGGGGGGGGGGGCTCATACATGGGGAAACATCCGGCTACAAAAGTGAAGGTTTTGTGAGAAAGATGTTAACTGTAAAACTAATTTTCTGGCCAGATAGCCTACCATCTAATGTTGTCTACAAACGAATGTTTTGTGAGCAATATGTTCCCTGCAAAAATAATCTTAAGACCATATGGCCCACGACGTACCGGCAAAGATGTTCGCCGTTACACAACGTATGATTTTCTTAATGATATACCAAGAAAGATATTGCCTACACAGCTAACACTTCGGCTGAATGTTAATGACATATACCGAGAAGAAAGCCCTAAATAATTTCAAGTACAAGACTTGTGAATTTGTTAAACCACACCATTTTGAAACCTTTATTAACATACCGCTCTAGTCTAAAGCAGCTTCTCTTTTTAGAACGTTTTCTTGACTTAGTGAATCAACATAAATGACTTACAATAATAGTGACAGCAGAGCTAGATCAATATAGAATACAAAGCATATTCTTTTGAGATCTGCATTCTGTTACTTGTCTGTTATGTAAGAAATATTTACTTTTCGAATAACTTGATTATAAAATATTGCTTTGTTTTAGATTTTTAGAGTGTAACATTAAATTGATTAATTAAAAATTACCCACAACTGAAGATGACGACGAATGGAGCTAGTCTAGATTCTCTAAGCCGATCTATGATGAAAGCTACATGACAGTGAAGAGTCTAGACAAGAATCTAGTAACACACATTGCAAAATTTTAACTTTCCGGGGAAGCTACTCTAAGCGATGTGAACACGGGGTTTCCCCGCATGAAACCCGAGCCCCTGTTTTGTCCTACAGTAGCCTGCTGTTAGAGTGGATTGATTCCCTTTATTTTTCGTTTGATCAAAGTTAGTCTCTCTCCCTTGGGAAAAAATAAGATCTGGATTCACAAAAGTTAAACCCCTCGACCGATTCATAAATCTGAAGTGTTATGTTTAAAAAAATGTTTCTTGAAAGAGCTTTGCCTCTAAGGATGCGTCTCTGCACTCAATAAATACCCACTCGCCACTGGCTTATAATGTTACCCTCCCCTGTTCAATGTTTGCCGCCGTTGCACTATAATATTAGCCTCACCTGTTTAATGTAACCATCCAGTCCCTCCGTCACAAACCCCACCCCCATTAAATGCTTCTGAGCGAATGGCTGATATATATATATATATATATATATATATATATATATATATATATATATATATATATATATATATATATATATATATATATATATATATATATATATATATATATATATAAATAAATAAAAATAAAAACAAGTGTTAAATGTACCGGCTTCAAGGGGTCATCCACAAATGACGTAACGCTTTTTTGACGATTTTACCCCCCTCCCCCCCCCCCTCCGTCACACGTCGTCACAAAAAGCGAGACCCCCCTCCCCTAAAATGACGTTACACCTCAGCCTACAACCCCCCCCCCCCTCAAAATTGCTGTTGAATTTTTCTTAAAACATCGATATTTTCCCAAAATCTTGTCTGAACTCTCTCAACATAGAGTATTTTAATCAATTCCTATTACAATTTATTAAGACCGTTTTCTAAAACGCGAAATAACTGCTAAAACTCGTTTTCTAACATTGCCTTTTTACAATGCAAAAACGTGACGTCACACCATCTGACCCCCCCCCCCCCCCCAGTCACACACCGTCACAAAATTACGGACCCCCCTCCCCCCTCCGAGTGTGACGTCATTTATGGACGTCCCCCAAACATCAAACTGATGAATGCAGCTCCAAAACCTCCGTAAGAAAATCTAGTATTAGGAAATCTGGAAATTGCAATATATTTTGGCGAATAGGTTGTAAAATATTCCTGTCCCGTTTTTGAAGCATCGTCAGCCCGTCTTCACAATTTTTCTTCTACATAGATATACTAGCTTGTGGTTCCGTTCTACTCTTCGGTGGGGAGCAAATAACTCCTCGTTTTTTTTTTAAAACATAGAATGGTGCGTTAATAAACTGGATGTAGAGATTTTTTCCAAGGTTCAGTCAGAAAATGTGTTTCCCCGGCCTTCCATGTTTGATCAAACCCATGACATTCAGCACTGATCTCTGCACCGACGAAGCCCCAATGCCTATACAGATGAAAGAATGACGGAGTGACACACTACCGAGCGGGTTATATTAGACAAGGGTACGCTAGATTTAAGAATTTGTCTTCTTAATAAATGCACGACTGAGTTCGGTACTTCTTGCTTCATCCGGATGGAACTCGTTAGTTTTATTATGACTGCTTAAAATTGTTTTTTATAATTACATACTCAAGCATTTTTTTAAAAGTAATCATGATATTTTTTTTTATAGATCAATCAATCATGATAAAATATGTCACATTTTACTGGATCGAAGAAAAAACATTCGACTGTTTTACTGTGGTTGTTGTCCTGAAATGTCACCATGCCCTCGAACACCCCCCCCCCCCCCTCTCGCAGCACCTTTCCTCCACAATTATTCTTTGAACTATGGGCCAATCCCACTCGAGAATACCCAGGCATTTATTTTATATCGCATTTTATGTTCGCCTACCTGTGATTTTTACATTTAAAAATAACTTTTTAATGGTATTTGTTTTTAAAAGGAAGAAAAGAAAAGAAACTTGACAGCTAGTAGGACAGGTTAAACGAAGGAATTCACGACTGGCATTGTTTTATCTGCTTTACAATTTTTTTTAATTTTTAAATTTTTAAAATTTTAAAATTTTATTTTTATTTTTTAACATCTGTAATTTTAATTTTATTTTTTAACATTTGTAATTTTAATTTTAATTTAAAAAAAAAATTTAGTCCTATTTTTATATTTTATTTTTATTTTTGCGTTTAGACGAAGATTGTGGACTGCTCACCTGAAATTCCATGCTCAAGTCCATATAACACGTCCCTGAGTCCACTCAGCTCTTATGGGTACCTGACTCACGTTAGGGAACATAAAAGCGGCTGGGCATAGTGCTGACCACATTATCACTTCATATGCCGAGGTCACTGAATCAGGTGAACTCTACTTCACCTACCACATGAACTGCAAGGGTCGAATTGGTACTT